TGCTAGACACTGCCTGGACAGGAGGTAGCAGGGATAAACCACTTCCTATGGAAAATACACACCAGTTAACGTTCATGTCCTCTCTAGAAGCAAGACACACACACACCCTCACAGTCACAGCAACAATAACATCTGCCTGAATGTTCAACAGTTGCAGCAACGTCCTCTGCGTCGTCTGGTGACATGCTGCATGCTCACATTAATGCTCCGTGAACTGCCTCAGTGATCCAAGCGGTATTACTCCGAATGATCTCTATATTCCCTGGCTCTTGTCCTGGCTTTCTGGTAGATTTTTATTTTCCTTTTTACTTTAGGATAGCTGACACTGCCTGTGTTTGTTCTGATCTCAGTGGGCTGAAATACTGTTACGCAGGTGATGTGACACAAATGTTTGAAAAATGTGTCTCCCTCACCGTCCTCTCTCCCTCTCTCCAAAGATACACTGATATCAACATACCTAATTGACAGAATATTTCTTTTCTATTAATTTATTTTTGAGTATGTATTTCCATCAAGTACTGCTTGAATCTTACAGTATCTTATATATATGTAAAGTCAGAAAAAATAAGTCATACAAATATGATCCTGGATGCTTCTGTTCATTTTATTTGTCAAAATGGCGTTCTGACTGCTTATTAGTTGATTGTTTGTACATATGTTGGAATTTTGTGGTCGACTGTGTGTTCTGAAGTGGCAGACAAAAAGCTTACGGCTGTTACCCTTTTCAAAAAGTTGTAAGGCATATTTTTATACACGTCAATATAATATTTTATATATGAATTGTTGGTTTATTTAATGAACTACAGTACAATGCCATGTATTTTTATATTGTCAGCAGTTTCTTATTTAAAGACAGAGATTATTTTATTTCATGTTAGGGGAAGTGTTGCGCTTCAGAGGCACCTTTATGGCAAAACTTCACTTCACATTCATCAGAGCTCTATTCTATTAACTGCTGTACATCTTATGGTTCTATCTCATGTTTTTAATTTCCTTTTTATTTATGCTTTGTTCATTTTGAGAATGGAGAATGTCCATGTTACTATTATGTTTTATTTTGGCACATCATACTATAAATTCTGATTTCAATAGAGGAGGAAAAAAAATGATCAGATTTGTTATTGTTATAGTATGTCTTTCCCAAGTCCTTGCAAAAGTCATGAAATTGTGTGCTATTAAAGTGTGATTAGAATTTATCTATTTCTGACCAATCTTGTTGTGCCAATGTGTGTGCCGTGATGATAGGTCCGTGCACAAAGGACCTTAAGATTTGCAAATATGAAAATAAAACATAATGATAATAAAAATGGAGAAGAATAAAACATATATTAATATAACAGCAGGTGTTGAGTGTGTTCTTTTAATGAAATGCGCATTAAGTGGTGTTGGTAATGTGAGGGGAACATAGGGACAAGATATTTGTAAGAGATTTTAATGACACTGCTGTTGTTGATGATGTTCAGGAGAGGCAGGTCAAAGATAATAATGATTAAGAAGATGTTTTTTTTTTACCTTTATTTTCTCATTGAGATTAAAAATCAAGAGCGCCCTGGCCGAGATTAACTGAGTCATAAAAAAAAATAACATAATGACATGGTGGAAAGTGGCTGACTAACAGTGTACTTAAGCACAGTTTTGAGGTACTTGTACTTTACTTGAGTACTTTAATCTTATGCTAATTTACAATTCTACTCCACTACATTTTGTAAGGAACTCCACTATGTTTAACAGCAACAGTTGCTATTTATATTTTTAAACATGATCATCTTATAAAATATAATTGGAAATTAGAAATTAATTAAAATGAGCTTGACTCCAACCAGCTACAACAATAACATGCTGCCTACATGTTAATGCATCATTAATAATAATACTATATATGATACTATAAGCTATAGCGAAAACCACTGTGTATTAGAAGAATTTATACTTGTAATTTAGGTACATTTCTCCAATAAAACTGATGTACTTTTACTTAAGTATGATTTTTAATGTTTTTACTTGCAATGGAGCATTTTTACTGTGTGGTCTTGCAATTTTACTTGGATAAATAATCTAAATACTTACATAAATATTACATTACATAAAAATATTTCATCCTAGAAACAACCAAAATAGAACTTTGAAACAGTAGGCTACAGTACTCCTGCATAGTCACCTCTGAAGCCTCAGGTACCTCATTCAGCAGAAAAAAAGAGAAAAGTATCTGAATGAGAGTTCCTCTGAATCATATGAACAATTTAATACATATTATTGATCTGAAGAGCCATGGTTTGAGGCTTCATGCTTATATCCATTTGCTGTGCCTGTGAGAAACGCCGCTGCAGTCACAGTAACCATTTGCCAGCAGTGAAACAGAAATTACACATTAGAGCACATTAGAGTCATGCTGCTTTTCTGCCATTACTAGGAACATAAAGGATAATTCTCTCCCTCTTCTCCACACAGGGACTCGATACATGCCTGTTTCCAAGGTAACAACATAGAATATCCCATTTGTCCATGCATAATATGAAATGAAGGCCTTGCAGAAAATGAAGGAGGAAGCATGATCCTTTGTAGAATCACATCACCACACGTCCTACTTCTCTATCTAGGGTGGTTGCATTTGCTATTCTTAGAGGTTCTTTTCTGTGCATTGAGCAAATGAAGCTACCGATATGTCTGTTAAGCAAAAGCACAGTTTTGTATAACTCAATTAAAACCATACAATTATGACATCAGTAATATTTATATTCTGAAATTAAATTCTCAAATGTTCCATCAAAAGTCTTGGATGCACATAGATTGGCGTGACTAATTTCCCTGGGTCAAAGTTTAGAAAATGTCATACATGTTAAAGCTGATATTTTGCAGAAGCTGTAAATTATTTTCATATATTTTTATAACACATACTTTGCTTGGACTCTAGCATCAAGTTAATTGCTCAAGAGTCAATACCAAAGATCCTACACTCATTTTGTCCTCATAATGAAATGTTTACGTTCTTTTAATATACTTTATTCATTTATTTTATTAGGCACATCACATGTTAATTGACATCAATATGATGTAAAGATGTCAGCGGATTCCTGTTTTATCCCATTTATGATCACCGTTTTTGGATCTTTCCCGTGCTAGGTTCTGAGGAGTGTGAGGGTTCCCTGATTACCACTAGCTGTAGTTGTGCCCCTAGTCGCATGCAACTTGCGCACAAGCAAAACTATTGAATGAATTTTTTGGTTGAATTTTTTTTAATCTAATCTAAATTTTGTGGATCGCAGTTCCACACAACTTCATCAAATATTTATCTTTGGCTGGTTCTATTTGTTCCCACATTCTTTCTTTTTTTTTTAAAGCTCTGGCCAAAAATCTTGTTTTTGCTGACCTCCAGTGGTCTCGTCTCACATTGCAGTGACGTACAGGTGTACTCCAGGACCTCATGACCTCACTGTTGTTTCAGTTTAGCGGTGAAACAAAGGCACTCTTCTTACCAATGCAAAAGTAAAATTAGTATGAATCATTTGTTTATCATTTATACTATTTTGTTCATCATTTACCCTACTACATTCAGCAGAAGGGAATCAGCTTGAAATTTCCAACTAGAGAGGCCAGTGAAACACTGCTTTTCAACTGTTAATCTTTAAATTCTCATCTCATCATCTGAAAGTGACACATAAAATTGATAAATTATTTGTCAAAATACACAAAATTGTTGAAATCGTTGTTGTCAGTCTAACAAGAACAGAAGAAAGCTAAATACCAGTTACATAATCAGATTGCTAGGGAAACCTGCGTGGAAAATACTATTCCCAAATCCATGCAGGTTTGGCAACATGTCAACAACTGCCCTCTGCTGAGGTTAGATTTAGTCAAGCTAACATTAGCTCAGCTTTGTGTGGCCAGTGATCATTGTCCCGGAACAGGCTTGCAACATGCTCTCATGTGCACCCTGAAAGACAGGTACAAAGAAAGTGCTGGTAAAAACCTCTTGGATTGTTTTGATGGTTCACCAGCCCACTAATGCGGTGTCCCACCAGGAATTGTCCTGGTATGCCTGATGGCCAGGGCCAGGGGAGGAGGAAGGACCAACAACTGTATTTCCTTGATTCTTATTATAGCAGTGGACATCCCAACTTTCCGGTAATATGCAGCCCCCTATTTCTTTGGACCATGAATTTGACCAGTTGGCCAATTCTTAAACAATGCCCCTTTAATGACAAAGCCAAAAGATATAAAAGTGTGGGAAGCTCTGTTTCCGCAGGACTCCTCAGTGCTGTAGGTTCCCCCATAGCTTGATGCTGACATGTTGTTTTGGGGTCTTTCTGCCCCCTAGAGGATAAACATCTCTTTGAGCATACATAATGGCAGCTGTTGTATCACACACCCACTGTACATAGAGTACATCTGGGTTCCCCCAGCTAAAGTAGGATACTGAAATACACAGCTAAAAAAGATCTATCAAAGATAACTGAGAGCTAACTTTCCCATTGGGCTCATTGTCTCTATCTTTCATTATCACTCACTACTATCAATAACAAATGTTTTAACATCTTTCACCTGAATTAGTAATTATGTGCAATAAGATCTCATATTCAATGATGCTGCACTCATGTCAGAACAACCAATATACAGGATTATGCAAAAATTATACTAGTTTCAGAAACAACATTAAACTTTTCACTGATCCAAAGATGCAGATTATGTTTACTTTTAAACTGTTTAAAATAAATTGTATACAAGTATGTCAGGATATTTCCTTGCCACGGTCTATGAGATGGTAAGATAACAAAATACAAAACAAAGTAATCCCTACTGAATGAGTGGTGAATTAGTGTTTGAGAGCTGATAATTCCGACCGTCGATTTTAATTGAACGCACCACAAAACTGCGATGTACCACCCGTCTGAGGTCAACTGATGCAGTAGTATCATTTTCATTGGTCCCTGCCACCTGTCGATCATGAACTCACCACGTGGTTTATAAAAACACGGGGGGGGCTCGAGGGGGCGGTGGTGGACTGTCAGTAGGAATATGGCGTGGACGTCGTCGGGTAATGATTCAGCTCGGTAGTTTAAACGTTAATTTAGAGTCGGCGTAACACAGTCAGAGTTTGACGGTTGACCTTTGGCTGTCGGCGCCGTGTCGGTGTGAGAGACCCGGGGGAGGCGCAGTGAGAGTTTAGCTCAGCCCTCAGGAGGAAGTGTCACCGCCTGCACCAGCGCTCTCAGTCTCTTAGTGGGGGACGAAGAGAGCCTGTCTACGGTCATGGCTGCCCTCGGGAACTCGGGGGCCACCTCCAGTCCTATGGTGATCCTGGCGCCGAAGACAAAAACGAAAAAGAAACATTTTGTGCAGCAGAAGGTTAAGGTGTTTCGGGCCAGCGACCCTGTCCTGAGTGTCTTCATGTGGGGCGTCAACCACTCGGTGAGTCGGTGAGCTAACATTTTAGCCCGTGCTAACGTTAACCGCGATGTGTGGTGTTTATCACCTAGCTCAGTTAGCAGAAATGTTAGCAGCTGACACAGACTTCCAGCGAGCAGGTCAGCGGAGAGGTAAGGGTTTTACACCGAAGTCCGTGGCCCTTTAGATTCAGTCGCACTCAGGCCTGGATTAGCCCACCACCCGGGTAAAGTGGGTAACTGCCCAGGGGCTACAGATCGTCAGAGGCCCTCAAAAGCCCCAGGTTCACCCCAATCTGTTCTGTCGATTAATAAAGTTGTATGAGTCATTTTCAACCAAAGCTACACATATTCTCAGGTGTCAGGAAATTGAAAACATGAACGTGAGAAATTATAGATTATAAAAATAATCGTCAGATTAATCGGTAATGAAAGTAATCGTTTGTTGTAGCCCTGTTTGACCACTGAGGTGCAATATCAGCTATGATAGTTCCCCATGGGAGTTTAATCCGGTCATGCAAATGTGGTCAGGTGGGATGCAGGAGATCTTCATACTGATTTATACACATCTGGCCAAAATGCAATTAAATTAAAATCCAATTAAATTGCTATGGACTCACCATATTTTGCAACAATTGTCAAGATCCAGTGTGATTTTTTTTTTTTTTTTTTTTTTTTTTAAAAACAAACAAAAACAAAACAACTTTGCAGTTGTACTACAGCTGAAATGTCTTGTCACTTGTGTGAATCTGATGGGTGAAAGAATGCAGCATAACGAGTGTAACTACATCTAACTTTCTCATTAACTCTCAGGTGTGTGAGTTAATGAAATTTATTTCACTAACATTGACTGCAGCCCAAGTGTCAGTGGAGAATAGTTAACCATTATAACCGTATTATAAATCATACTTTCAGGATTGCAAATGCAAATTTTGTAAATTTTTGACTGGAACTGCAATGATTAGTTAATGAGTTGTTTAGTTGATTGACAGAAAATTTGTCAGCAATAATTTTGATACTCGTTTAATTTTAATTCAAGTAATCTTTTAAGGAAAAATACCAAAAATTTGAAAAAGTTCCAGCTTCCCAAATGTAAAACTTGGTAAAAGACTGTATAATGGTGTATAATGGGTAAAGACAATAATCATTAGTTGCTTTTATGTTAGACAGGAATGTGGACTGTTTCATTGTAATTACCTTATTTCTGCAGATCAATGATCTCAACCAGGTGCCTGTTCCTGTCATGCTGCTGCCTGATGACTTCAAGGCCAACACTAAGATCAAAGTCAACAACCACCTTTTCAACAAGTAAGTCATAGAAATAAGTAAATATACAAGCACCATTAATTGATATATAATAAAATGTGACCCTTAGAATACAACAGACAGTATCCTCTGAGGCCTTTGAGAAACTTGAATTACCACATAAATAGATGACAAAGAGCATGAAAGATCTGTATGTTTGTGTGTTGATGCAGAAAATTTTCTCCTTCTCACTTTCCCGCCTCCTCTCCCTTTTGTAGAGAAAACCTTCCTGGACATTTCAAGTTCAAGGAGTACTGTCCTCAGGTCTTTCGAAATCTAAGGGAACGCTTTGGTATTGAGGATCTGGACTATCAGGTATGTGATGTTCTGATGTAATACTCAGTATGCAGATCTATTTATGCACTGAATGTCTTTTTCTGTACTGTCCCTTAATTGCAAATACAAAGAGATGTATCTTACAGCATGTGTCTTATAATCCCCAGGTGTCGTTGACTCGCAGCCCCCCACTGAGGAGTGGAGACGACCAGGGTGAGGGTCTGCTCCTCAACTCCTACGACCGAACGCTCGTCATCAAGCAAATCTCCAGCGAGGATGTTGCAGACATGCACAGCATCCTGTCTGAGTATCACCAGGTAAGATCTGGATGGTTAAAGTAAGTCTGGTGATGTTCTGTCTTTTTCTTATTGTCAAGAAATGCCATGAAAAGACAAAACCCAATAATGTGTTAGTCCTTGTCTTAATACTTTCTGATTTCCCTGTGGCCCCAATCTCATTGTTTCCTACTGAAAATATTCAATAAATATATAGATTATTTTTGGCCACAGCAATTAATTGAACAGGTGTGATTAATTCAAATTTTTGTTTTTTGCACAGTGTGTAAAATGTCTACATTGTGAAAATCAGTCAGTAAGGAAGATAAACTCATAAACTTTATGCAGAGATCCTGTTATATTTCCATCAAGAAGACCATTAGCCTTTGCTCGTTTACACTGAACCAATAAAGCCGGCATAATGCCACCACTGTGTGTGTGTTTAGGTAGCATACTAGCGTGACATGTAACACAGCAGCATCTGCATCTGGCCCACCATGCCGGCTTTTCCTTTTTCACAGATGTCATTCGGCTCTCTGACTACTTCCGGTGGTGGCTTAAAGTGGGAATAACAATACCCCCATTTCTGTGTCCTTACCCTTTATATAGAATGGCCAGGCTGAATAAAGGTGGACGAGAGGCTTGTGATGTGAGCAGTAGCACTACCTGCACTCTGGCCACAGTTTACAGTTGTGATTCCAGGTGGCTAGCTGGCTCTGGCTTTCTCATAGTGACTCAAACAGTTGCATCTACGAGAGGGATCGATGCACTGGGCATTATCTGGTTATGAGAGGTGAAGTTAATGAAGACAGCCAAACAGTGAGAAGATTCCACTTCGGCCTGCTGGGTAGCTAACCCTGGCTTTCCAGCTGTCTGGAGATATCAGGCTGATGTAAAGAAACACTAACACCGGGAGTTGAGGAGTTAATGGCAGCAGGACAGTGTATGCTGGACTGAGTTAAAATAAACTACAGTGCCCATGTTTATCATAATGAAAGAACATGTCAGCCAATGCAGTCGTGTGGCTGAGATGAGATGAGTTTGTTTTGTTTGAGATGAGTTCATTTTTTTTTTTTTTTTTTTTTTAGATAAACTGTGTGTTAATATGTTAATTTACTGATTGAGTTTTAACCTGGACCAGGATCTGGCCAGAAGCTGCAGGATGAGTTATAGTAATAAATAGGTGACATGAATTTTGGAGTAAGCCCCAGTTATAGATCCTGGAGTTAAACTCAGGCTATAAATAAGCCTCCCTCTGCCTCACTGTTCATTCAATCATTCCTTCAGTTATTCATTCAAGTTTTTCTTTTTCTCAGTCTCCAGGCGTGTTGCCATCCACACACTCACCTCCTGTCTGCTTTACTGAACTGTGTGTGTAAAGCTTCACATCTACAGCACCACATGTCCTACTTATTTTCTCTGTAACCTTTGTTTGGACCTTTTGTACCCAAAAAAAAACCCCAAGAGCGTTTGTTAAAGTTCCTAAAATGAGCCCTTGCTGGGGCAGTTAAAAAAAAAAAAAAAATTCTGCCATAGGTGAGCGAGGTCGACCCAAATATGACTATTTTAAGATTTAACGTGTTGCCGGGAGCAGCAGAGTGGTGCAGTGAGTAGGAAGACAGTTAACTGTTCAACCAGAGGACAGCAAACATCTGTCCCGCTGAAGTGTCCTTAAGCGAGACACTAAATGTAGCTTTGAGCCGCCTCTCTCAAAATGAACCTGACCGCTGACCTCCCTGTCGGGGAGGAGGGAAAATATCCCTCCAAAAAAGAAAACGGTGTTTGTTATCATCAAGGTTAGCCAACGACAGAACAAATGCTCTGTTATATGATTGTTGGTTTGTTACTGATATTCAAATGTTCCTATCTCCACATCTATGTTCATGTAAATAGTAGAGTACATTTGTAGCAGATAGGAGATAAGAGGTGGCATGCTTTCACCTCTGTTTTGTTTGTTTCTGCTTTGGCTTTATTTCACGTTTACAGCTCAGACTGGAGTCAGTGTTCAGACTTGTATCACTGAGTCGGATGCATACTTCAAAAACTAGGTCTCACTTCAGGCTAAACATACCACTGAGTAAACTTTTGGTTGCTTTGAGCTCTTATTGGAATGTGTAGCCAGTGGTTATGCAGCCTACATAAAACTGAGAGGGAGATGAGGAAAATGGCAGCTCTGTTTCAGACTTTTTTTTTTAATTCACTTGGCCCTCAATGAACTCTTTGTTATCAGGCCGACTGCGTTGGCATTACACAGTTTCCTTCATAGATCATGACAGTTTGCAGGTTGCAGTTTTTTGTATCAGACTCCTAGTCAATACTTTGCATCAGTGGTGCATGTTTGCAATGCTGAACAGCTGTTTTGAATGAACCTGTCTTTGTTTTTCAGCTGAATCATCTCTGTGAACTGAATATTGAGATGCTGTGCTGAAACAGCTGGTCCAGCCATGAGAGCGGTTCTGTAGAAGGCTTCATCAGGGTTGTGCTTTTGGAGTTTAGGCATTATCTGGATGCATTTTCAGAAGGTTAAGGATCAGGTTTTTTTGTTTGGCAGATATGGAGTGTAGGTTTCAGTCTCTAAAAGCCAAATCAGTATTTTGTTTTGACCACATGAATCATTAACACTCACATACACGAGTTAGAGATTAAAAACTAGCCTTTTTTTTCACATCAACAAACCATTAACACTGCGCTCGAATTGTTTAGTTGTTGTTTTGGTGCTTATCTTTAAATTGAAAGATGTGCCAATCAATTTGGGAGTGATCTCAGGCTTCAAAATAGAGTATAAGTATCACAGTATATGTATTTTTAAATCTCTATTAATGATGGTGAACATTCTCTTAATGGTCAAGTGAAAAATCCTTTAAAGACAAAATAAACAGAGAGGAATGTCTGTTTTTGGTGAATCCAATTAATGAAATACACGACACATGAAGTCAGTATATCACATTGATTCCTATAGATCATCCTGCTCATTAAACTGCAACATTGCCCATTACATAAAGTACAGCTACTGTGATATAAGTAACTTGGCTAAACCTTAACCTTCAAATATAATCTCATGGTACAGTGCATACTGTCATGTCACTCAACTCTATTTAGAGCTGCAGCAATTAATCGTTTAATTGATATGTTGAATGAAAAAAAACTATATATTTTGATAATTGATTGGTTTCAGTCATTTTTCAAGCAAAACTCCCAAATATTTTCTGGTTCCAGCTTCTCAAGTGTAGCAATTTGCTAGTTTTGGTTGGTCTTAAGCACTTTATAGACTAAATGATTAATGAATTAATTGGGAAAGTCGATATTTGGCAGATTAATTGATAATTAAAATAGCCATTAGTTGCAGTCTTGGCTACGTTGTTTATCAGATTGCAGATTGTGCCAGTTCTGGATTGAAGGAACCATTGATTATGTTGGTTTATGTTGTCATTCTGCTTAGTGCCGAGCTGCCACAATCGATCATTTAATTGATTTGTCAGTCAGCAGAAAAATAAGCTCTTCTCCATCCAAAATTGTCAAATGTTTCCTGGTTCCAGCTTCTCGGTTGTGAGGATTTGCGGCTTTCCCCTGTTTTTATGTCAGTGAACTAAATATCTGTGACTGTAGGTCAGGCTAAAAAGGGATTTTGAAAAGGTCACCTGAGGTCCTGGGAAACTGTGATGGGCATCTCTCAGTTTTTTTTTTTTGTTTGTTTTTTACATTTTATAGCCCAAACAATAAATCGGTTAATCAAGATAATAATTGATTGACCGATAATAAATATGATTGTTTGTTGCAACCCTAGTTTGAGGCGTGCTGAACACAGGTGGACATTAAGAGGTAGAATGTGTTGTGCACATGTCCCTACGTGTCCTACTTCGGTCCATGTTGTTGTCACGGTGTTTTGAGATGAGTGTCAACTGCCATGTTTCTATTCTAACACCCACGTAGTCACCAGCCGCCTTTTTTTCCCCACCTGTCCGAGATTGACCAGGAGGGTCTAACAAACAAACACACACATGTCAGTGACATCAGGTGACGGAGACATGACAATCAGTTTTTCCAACAAGTACGCATGTCTTTTATTTCAGTCATTTATTTTTGAGGAGCACATACATTAGACTGTGGCAAAACAAAACAAAAAACAAACCCTTCCCTCACTTTCTTCCTCTTTTTCTCTCAGGTTACATACAGCAACATAATTAATATAAAATGACTGTCAACAACTCTGATTTATACAGAATGTTCCGAAAATTTAAAATAAGGTTAATCCATCTCGTAAGGTTTACCATTACACTTACATTCAAACGTGACCCAGTATTTATTTCATGAGGATTCACAAAATCACAGCAACCTTAAAAAAAGATTGAATAGTTACCAAATTTCTTCACAAACATTTTCAAAGTGCATGTTATAACCTGAATCACAGTAGCGGCTCGCCGAGGTAACGTGCGAGTGTTTTTCTGCTGTGCAGGCACCCACAGGGTAGAACCTTAAAAATCAATGTACAAAACACAGTGGAGGGGCGGGATGTTAAAAAGACATCACTCTTCGTGTCTGTTGCAGGGGACACTGAATGAGGTCAGTCTGAAGTGCGAGTCTATTTTAACTAACTGCTACAGAGGGTGTTGAGCACAGCTAAAAGCCTAACCTGGATAGACTCGATAATTAGTTTACATTCAGAGTGACCTTTGACGGTTACCAGATTTAACCCTGAGTGCCATGTTTTCATGTTTTTAGCCTCTGAGTCAGTCTTTTACCCTTTCAATGTATTTTTATTATTTGCATTTTTCTTTATCTGTGAGACTATTTTCTGCACCTGCCATGTAAATTCCCTGTCGCTTCCTCCCTGCAGCACATAGTCAAGTGTCATGGAAGCACCCTGCTGCCGCAGTTCCTGGGTATGTACCGGGTGAGCGTGGACAGTGAGGAGACCTACCTGATCGTAATGAGGAACATGTTTAGCCACAGACTGGTGGTACACAGGAAGTACGACCTGAAGGTGAGGAGGAACTGCACAGAAAACACTGACCTTTTTAATCACATGTCCCACTTCTCCACACCGCTTCACAGTACAATGTGGAAGTCATGCAGATATCAGTTTGCTTTAACAAAGGAGGGAAATGTACAAGATGACATGTGAATTGCTACTTCACGTTGGAGCTCAAAGGATTAGTTGATTAATCATTTAGTTAAACAACAAAAAAGGATTCAACTATTTCGATCATCAATAGCAAAAAATGCTAAACTTTCCCTTATTTTTGCTTCTCAATAATGAGGTTTTGCATCTTTTCTCTGTTTTGTATCATTGCAAACTGAAGCTTGTTGGGTTTTAAACTGTTGATCAGACAAAACAAGATTTGAAAGCATCACACTGGGATTAGGAAACTGTGTTTTACGCTGTTTTCTGACATTTTATAGACCTAACTTGATGCACTGATTAACTGATAATGAAAATAAGAGGCTACGTCCACACTAATACTACTAAAATAATAATCTCCATCCAGATGATCGTTTTAGCTCTGTATCAGAAATGATCTCCATCCAGACTGCACACCTGAAAACACATACATACGTGACCATTCAAGTACACTGGACATGTGTGAGCAGAAGCAGATTGTCTACTCTGAAGTTGAGTAGTTGCAGAAAGTACGACGAATGAGGAATAGCAAAGGCAGTTGCCGCATTAAAATACAGAAATTAGCTAAAAAACAGCTGCTGGCAAAGACAACAAGGACAGTAATGCTTGTATTTCATTATTCATGTTTCATTCACCCCTGGTAGTCGAGGCTGATAAGACCCAATCAGGGAGCGACCACGGGTGTCTACGTCATCGTTTCCAAAGGTCTCGGTTTTTGCCCGTTGAGACTACAACACAACCCCGCAGTTTTCAAACTAAAACGGGGCCAACAGTGTTTTTAAAAGTCTCTGACATAGGTGCTTGAAAACTCCAGAGTAGTGTGGAGGGGAGGTGAAAACGTGGCAGAAGTGATGTTTTAAAACTAAAACATAGTCGCCCTAACGCCTAACTGCCGCCCTAATTCACACCTTTTGCTTCTTCCACTGACTAGAAATAGTTCAACGCTCTTGTTTCCAAAATGTACGAATCATAATATTTGCAACCATTTGTTCTTGCAGGGGTCTCTGGTGGCTCGTGAAGCAAGTGACAAAGAACGGGTGAATTGAAACATCTTGCCTTATATCCATTTTATATCATAAATAGCTGCCTCCTCTTTGTCCCATAGAGTATATCCCACTAAGATGTTTTTTGTTCCTAAAGGTAAAAGAGCTTCCTACCTTCAAGGACATGGACTTCAGGAACAACATGCAGAAGGTTTACGTAACCGAGGAGCAGAAGGAGAAGTTCATGGAGAAACTAAACAGAGATGTGGAGGTGGGTGACATGTCACAGACCTTCCTGTTGTTGCAAACATCGGCCACACAGCGGCAGCATCTGCACGTAAAGGATGCACCGCTCCTGACTGTGTTGGCATTTTGGCAGCAGGGGTATGGATGTGAATTTCATTCAACAGGGAAGGAGCAGAATTTGGATATTATGACATTAAACTAGAGCTGAAACTGTGAGATGATCGATAGAAGATTAATCAGCAAGCATTTTGATAAGCATTTAAGAACATTTTTAAGCAGGAATGGCAAATATGGATATTATTATTTTCTGCTTTTCTTTGTCTCCTGTGATAGTAACCTGAATGTTTGGATTTTGGGCAAAACAAAACAAGGCATTTTAAAATGTCATCATGAGCTCAGTGCAATTTTTTGCCATTTGCTGACATTTAAACTATTAATTGAGAAGTTGATTAATTGATAACAAAAATAATTGTTAGTTGTAGCCGTAACTTCATCCATAGCATATTCCCATATGCAAGCTAACTATCGATAATTTCACTATCGATTAATCTGCGATTTTGTCTGTAAATGTCAGAAAATTGACAGTATAATGCAAGTTGACATTCACATTGTTTGTGTTGTTTAAGCTCAAGCAGAAAGCAAGAGAATTTTAGTCTTTTATGTTTAAAAAAAAAAAAAAATTGACTTTTGACAATTACTTGAGGATGAAAATTGAAAAGTTGCTGATCTGCTGCTGAACTGTTTCAGCTCTGGTTAATGTAATAGCACTATCTTACCTTCCATCTCCCTCTCACAGTAAATGAATGTTCTTGTTGTAAAAGCCTCTCAGCAAACATCCCTCTCCCATTTGCCCCCAGTTTCTGGTGAAGCTGAAGATCATGGACTACAGCCTTCTGCTCGGCATCCATGACGTGGGCCGAGCTGAACGGGAGGAGGAGGAAGGAGAGGAGGTGTCCAACGAGGAAGAACAGGACGCAGAGAACGGTCTGGCCCTGGGCCCCGCGGCGGGTTCTTACGGCACCTCTCCAGAGGGAATCGCTGGTTACATGTCCTCCTGCAAACCTCTGGGGCCCGGAGAGTTCGACCCCTACGTGGACGTGTACGCGGTCGGGAGCTGTCCAGGTGAATGTTTGCTTCAAGCCACGAACTGAGACAATTTAAAAGTGAAACTAAAATGCGAGGATGAAAAAATACTCAGATTGATTTCAGGCAGGGATGAATGTGTCCCCCTCTTTCTCTCCCGGTACCAATTCTAATACTTTGAGTATCTCTTGATACCGACTGACAATCAAGTTCTAAGGTTGTGTAGCTCTTCCTACCCTGCAAGTTGATATGAAGGCGTATATGTCAAATACAATACACATCCCCTTTTAGGGGTCATGTATGTTTGCACAGTTTGTTGAGATATTTCAGGTTGATCCATCGTAATAATTCAATCTCACAATCTTTGGATGGGTTGCCATGAAATTTGTCTTTAGTGCTTATTAGTAAATGTTAATGTGCTAACGTACAACATTGATCATGTCACATGATCTCCCTCACATGGATCACAGGTGTCATGAAGTTGTAGATGCTCGCGTTTCCATTTTGTCAGAGCACTTCTTATCTGTGTCAGTTTAAAAGTTGAGATTCAAAGTTAATTTTTGAAAACGGTTCAAACTGATTCATTGTTGATTAACGTATCTGTCAATCAATTGTTTCAGCGGTAGAATATTGTATAATGTAGAGCTGAAAATTAATCTGAAACCACTCTGATAATTCAGTAATCATTTGATTTACTTTTCAAGCAGAAACGAGAAGAATTTACAGTTTCCAGCTGATTTTAAATGTGAAGATTTGATGCTTTTTGTTTTTGTGTTTTAACAGAATATTTTTGAGTTTTTCACAGTTTTCAAACATTTTATACACAGAAAATAACTGGCAGATTAACTGATAATGGGGAAGAATTTGTTAGTTGTTAGTAATCTTTATGATGAAGATCCAGGAGTCTGGATCTGTTTGTCATGAGTGTTGCGTGTGTTATAATTTTATCTCCATTATCATCATCTTGGTCATCCACAAAATAATAAGAATATAGTTTTAGAGGTTTTGAGCTTTTATGTTGATGATATTTATATGAAGCCTGTCACTGCTGTTGTCTGTGCAGGCCCAATAAAAAATAACCCTGGTTGCTGTCTGCCTTTCATCACAGGAGCCCCTCAGAGGGAGGTCTACTTCATGGGCCTGATCGATGTACTCACTCAGTACGACACCAAGAAGAAAGCTGCTCATGCAGCAAAAACTGTCAAACACGGGGTGAGTAGCACAGGAGAGGACAGAATGAGGTGGAGGGCTGCTGTCAGCTGTTCAAAACATTCAGTCTTACCTGCACAGAGCAAGAATTGTTGATGTTTTCTCTCATGTCACATCATGAAATATACAATGTAAACAGATGATGATTTTTTTTGGTCTTTGTCTCATCTCTTCTCTCTCTCTCTTCTCTCTCTCTCTCTCTCTGTCGCAGGCTGGTGCTGAAATCTCCACAGTCCACCCTGAGCAGTACGCCAAACGATTTCGCGACTTCATCTCAAACATTTTTGCGTAACACTCAGCTGTGAACACTGCCACAAACTGAATCTGACTGAGAGCTAAAAGTCAATTTTATCATTGACCAAAAATAGTATGCACATACAGATCATTATTTAAATTTGGTGATCTGAGGCGAAACTACGTTCTTTCGTTGTAGCAATATAATGTACTACTTCTGATGCATATATTTATTTTTTAGATTTAAGATGTATTTCTTATAAATATTAAGCACTCTTAATGGAATAACTCTGGAGAAATGGGGTACTTGGAAACAAACTGCTGTTGATCAGTGTTCATAGTGTTAGACCACATCAGTAATAGATCAAATATGAATATATTTCTTTTTTTTTCAATTTGCTCTGGTTCCTCAGGCATGAACTAAACATAAATGAGACATATTTGGAAATGAGTTTACTCTCTTGTTGAGAGTTAGATGAGAAGACTGATACGACTCTCATATGTCTGTTAAATATGAAGCTATAGCCAGGACATGCTTAGCTTAGCTTAAAGACTTGAAACTGCTAGACTGGGTCTATGTTCCAGCACTTCTAATTATAAAATGAATTCATGGGAACTGAGACACTGCAGCTGGCAAAGAAATGTGGGAAATGACTCACTGTAAAAACGCAGTGTCTTGTATTTATATGTTAGTTTTTGTACAGATTAGATTAATCAGATATGACATGTTAATTAGTGAACTTTAAATAGGGGGTGGCTGTATTCCCCTGTTTCCAGTCTTTATACTAAGCTAAGCTAACTGGCTGCTGAGATATGAGTGATTAAAAGAAAAATCCATCGATTGAGCTTCTCTAAAGTTTTTGGACTCACGATGGACATTAAAAAAAAAAAAAAAATGATGCTGATGATACAAATTGATGCAGCATCTTTTTCATATTCTTCTTTCTGGTAGTCTAGACAGTGACCTTGTCTAGTATAATATTATTTATCTATTGAAGCAGGCCATTTGAATGTTTAGAGTGCCAAATGTGTGGGATCAAAGCTTTATCAAAGCAGGATTTGCACTTTGCATACAATTAAATCAACTCTGCTGACAGAGCAGTTAAATGAAACACAATTTCAATGCATCAAATATTGTTTTCCACCAAAGTCTTTACTAAATTTCTAAAAAAAAAAAAAAAAATGTACAGAACAACCTTGCCAGTTGAAACAGTGAATCTGTGTGTTTAAATAGTAGATTTTTGCCAGCCCTGCTTCTCGTGGCTACCACAGCCTGTAAAGACAACGTAGGGTGGCTGAGCTTGGAGCATTTCCTTTACCCACAGAGCTGAACCTGCATTAATGAAGCGACTGATTTTAGGATCAGTCCTGCCTTTTTTTTTATAATAAAATACATCATGTGTTGATGTGTAATTCGACATCAAAACACCTCCTGAAAACGAGCCCATCCATCGTTATTCTGGACAGACTCCTTTTGAACACGGTGTAGTGTTTTGTGCATTGGAATGGAAAACGTGCGCTATGTGAATCATTGTCATAGGATAAGACTTAGAAAAATATAGCAATAGAGCTAGGAACTGTTGTCAGTGTATTGTAATGATTTAGTGATAACCAGGGTACTGTGTTAAATATTTTGACCATAACACTACATTTAAGTAGCTCGTGCAGTTAGCCTTAACACAGTGAGATGATACAGCATTCCTAAACACTGGCAAGGCAGCGTAGATACAGTAGTACTCTGTGTGATGCCTCATCTACTCGATGATTGCACATGTTGTATTTTTGCAAATCAGCTTTTGGACCAAAATATATTTTACGAAGAATTTCTGAAAAGTGTTTGACTTGTTGTTGTTGTCAGAAAAATGTTTGTGTGTTTGTGCATGATGACACTTTGGAAAATATTTCATCTGGTGATAAACTTTCGGTCCGTTGGTCCACCAACAGGGCGGCTGTGGCTCAGGAGGTAGAGAGGGTCGCCCACTAATCACAAGAGGGGTGGTTTGATCCCTTGCTCCTCTTGGGCAAGATACTGGACCCTAAATTGCCACTGATGGCTGTGAATGTGTCAGTGAATGGGTGAATGTTACAAGTGTGAATGTATTGTAAAGCACTTTGAGAGGTTCAAAACGACTAGAAAAGCGGTACATGGGTGCAGTCCATTTACCAGCTCAGACTGAAACATGTCGTGAAATTTTATACAAACATTCATGGTCCCACAAGGATGAAGCCGTCTGACTTTGGTGAACTCTTGAACTTTTTCTTGCACCACCAGCCGGTCATCAGTTGTTTTTTTGGTTTTTTTACTAAAATATATCAACAACTCTTATATGAATCACCATGATATTATATATAATAGATACCCATCAAGCCTAGAGGATTATCCCTTGTGACTTTTTCCTGTCAGTTCAGATTAGTTTCTGCTTATCCAGTGAAATCTCTCAACATCTACGATGGATTGGCACCAAATTTTGCACAAACATTCATGGTCTCCAAATGATGTTTCTTAATGACTGTGGTGATCCTTCTTCTAGTGCCACCGTGACATTTATGCTTTTAACTGAAATTTCTCAACAACCACTGCACGGATTGCCATGAAATTTCATGCACACATTCATGTTCCCAATTGGATGAATTTAAAGGTCCCACATTGTATAGGGTGAGACTTCCATGTCATGAGGCTCAGAGTCTCTCTTCTGATTGGCTCATTAACATGTTGTGGCAGCTCCAGTGAGGAGATGTTAAACTACACTGAGAAGGTTCTTGGTACTTAAGACCACAAATATATCTTCTTATTGATCAAAACTTGAAATAAGACACCGGAGAAGTGTAAAGTATGGGGCCTTTGAATAACTTTGGTAGGTAAGTGGTGTTGTGCAGGTTGGAATATCTGGTAACCTATAGGTGATTCTTTATAGTTGTTTTTTAGTCTCAGATAACAACATGGTGAGGGTCAAGGACTGTTCTTTGTCTCATACTTTCCAGAAGATGTTTTTCTGCTGACTGGTTCCTTCCTGTTTGATCAGAGGAGGCAGAAGTTGCTGACTGGTTCCTACTTGTTTCACTAGAAACTGAGTGGACTCACACAATAGGATTCAGACAGGATGAGCAATGAGATTGAGGGAATAGGTGGGGGGTTAGTGAGCTACAAAATGCTGACGAGCTGGGTGGGCAGTAGGAACACCTAGGCCAGGGAGCACATTAATCAGTGTGAATCACGGCCAACACAAACGTTCTTGCTTTCGCTCTGTATGAGGCTGACCTTTAGTCTTGACCTCAACAGTCCATCACGCAATGACATATCTGAGCTCACCCAAGAGCAGCTGCTCCGGGTTGCTCAATGGCATCATTTCATCAGAAGAGACAACAGAGTTCCTCTTGTTCCTTGTGTAATTTTTTGATGAACTTTTATGTCAATGATGTCAATGCCTAAACTCGTGTCTCAGTTAAATAAACCAGATCAGTGGAGCCACATCTGTTATGTCACCACCTGCACCGGCTCAAGTGAAGCCAAATTGCAGCTCATTTGTAAGGTGTTGAAATATTGTGATAATGAGGATGTGTGTGTGTACGTCTAGGTTAAAGAGCCCCCTTCCTCAGTGAGGTTGATGTTCCCCAGGCTGCCCTCCCCCCCTCCACTCTGCTCCGCAGCACAGGGAACAAGGGGTGCTTCCTGGCATTGTTCTCTGCTATGTAGAGCCTGTTTTTACTGTTTCTGCACCATTCCTACCAGCCATATGCAAATTTACATACAGGATCATGTAAGGTAGTTCACTGAGGAAACTCACTAATAATGAGTTAATGCAAACAACAAATAAAACTGAAGCTAAGTTAACCTGTAAGATTCATGGGAACTTTTTAATGCTGGAAAAATCTGTTTTGGGTTTTTACAACCTCTAAACAGAAACCAAATCAACCCAGTGCACACACTACAGGTGGAGCAGGCGCACAAATTTTGATATTGCCCATAAATCCTGTATTTTAGAGAGCAAGTGAGATGAACATGAACAAAACATGACTCATGTCCTTCAAATACAGAAAGACAAGCGTGAAAAATACTGGATGAAACCAGATTGTCAGTCTCAGGTAACAAACCTTTAGCCACGCTAGCAGCATGGCTGCAGGGAGGGCAATGTCAATCAGTTGGTTCACTACTTTGGTCCAGACTGAAATATATCAACAAGTATTGGATGGATTGCCATGAAGTTCTGGTTCGTGGTCGGATGAATCCTAATAATGTTGTTGGCCTTTTCCTTTAGCTCCACCTTCAGGCCAAGTTTCCAGTCAAATATCTTAATGTCTACTGGAGAGATTGGCACAAAATTTGGTAATGATATTCATGTTGCTCAGAGGTTGAATGTGTCGAAACAATTACTGGATGAATTGCAATGAAGTTTAACACGTTCATGCTCCCACACTGGAATCACTTTGAGGATGCCATTATTTTTTTTTAATCTTGTGCCATCATCAGGTCGAAATTTAAATTTGTCCCGTAATAGTGAACATGGTAAACGTTATACCTGATAAACATAATCATGTTAGTATTTAGCTCAAAGCACCTTTAAGCTTTAAAGTGTTTTTATTTCTCCTTTTCGTCCTCCACATTAGGCCACGGTGCTTAAATCCCAGTGTAGTGAAGGTCTGTGTTAAATGTAGACCCTATTGTAGTCCTTGTGTTTTTTTTTCCCCTACATCTGTTTTCCTGGTAAATTACTTCTTCTTTTTTTTTAAGTAAAGTGAAATAGTAACAAAAAGGTTAAATAGAGGAGAAGTATTAAAACAGCGGTTATTATTATTATTTACTATTATAAGTCTTAATGTGTTTATTCAAGGTTCTCCCAATAGTATTGGATCTAAATTTTGAGAAACACTTTTATGTTTGAACACATTGTTTTCAAACTGCAATTAACTTTGACTCCCTTTAGTTGTGTGTGGGTGTCCCTGGACTTCTATACCACTTCCCATTACCCACTGAGGATGTCCTGTTAGATCAGTGTGAGTGTGCGAGTGTGTGTGTGTGCGTTAATGAGAAATGGGAGGGTAGAAAGTCCGGGCTGCTTGATTACTCAGATAGCCCTCAACATTAGAGCTGGAAGGAGTCATCTGGTGTCTGCAGGCTTCGCACAAAAAAGACTCTCCAGAAGACATCCAGGCCTCAGGAGGGACCTGCCCCTCTTCATCTCCAGCACACTCATCATCACCGCGAGGTATGACTAACTCCAATTCTATATATTTTTTGAGAGATGTTAGAATCTGTTTCTGTTCCTTTTAATGTGAATAGAAAAGGGAGGAGGGCCTGTCCACAGTTATTGGGGAACTACTACTACTGGTGTATGAAAAAGTTGAAGTCTTTTGTGGCTTCAGAGTGAGCTGTGTGAAGTCTGAGCCTCATGTGATGTTACTTGAGTCAGCGCTGATTGGGTGGGCGCATTGTCGGTATCGAGGCACCAGGTTTCACCAAGGAAGAAAACATGGTGTAAAAAAAAAAACAACATAGAAAATTGACACAGCAGAATAAAAAAAAAATAAAAAAAAAGACAAAGTCTGACTATTACAGCAGTGCAAGGCTAGATCACTGGATTACTCTTTAAACTAAAAAAATCATTTAAATCAGAATGACTTCAATTCAACACAAATACAAGGATGCAGTCGCAGCACCTCTTAGTGAAATTGATACTTTCAGAACTGCATGCTGTAGGTCGTGAAATTACCTTTTAATAACCTCTTTGTGGTTTTAGTATCCACCTCGCAAAGGCATTTGAGTAACATTTCAGCCCAGCATGTCTGCCACCCTCCTCCTCCTCCTGTGTTTCTGTTATGTAATGTCTGAAAACATAATCAGATTAACCCCAAAGTAAATCTAAACTGTGTCCAGATATGAAACAGTTTTCCTCTTATTTTCACTCCAGACCATGAGCACTCCCGAGCAGAACCACTCAATAGACCACTTAAATGGCACACCGTGGTTTGTCTATGAGTGCACCATCCAGCTCGATGCGGACTACCGGCGCATCGCCCTCTTCTTGGTCTACCTGTTCGTCTTCATGGTGGGCCTGCTGGAGAACGCACTGGTCGTCTGGGTGAACTGGCGTCGGCGCCACTCTGCCAACGGGGTTCTCTTCTGCGTCATCAACGTGAGCCTGTCGGACCTGATGGTGATTGTGATCCTGCCATTCTTCATAATGGAGGTGACCATGGACAGGGTTTGGCTGTGGGGCCGCTTCCTCTGCAAGGTCACCAACCTCATCTACGTGATCAACTTCTACAGCAGCACCTTCTTCCTGGCCTCCATGACCCTGGAGCGCTACCTGTCCCTAACCAGACCCTCGTCTCCGTCCCTGTTCCCTGTGGCGGGCCGGCGGCGCTGGGTGCTCTGCGGAGGCCTGTGGGTGTTCTCCTTTTTCCTGGCTCTGTTGGAGAACGTCCACATGGATCTTCTGGAGTGGGATGAGCCCGGCTGTTACATGGTGCCTGAGTACAACTACATCGAATGGTACATCTGCGTGTCTTTCCTCAGCCTGCTCTTCCAGTTCCTGGGCCCTGCTGCTGTCATCATCACCTGCAACGTGCTGATCGCTCGAGCAGTTAGAACAGCTCCAGATGTGCAGGGCCGGCGGGACGTGTGGCTGGTGCATGTGTACTCCCTGGTGTTCATCATGTGCTGGCTGCCCTACCACATGGTTATGTTCCTCATGATCATAGACGACCTCGACCCTCACATCTTCAGCTGCAACACAATAGAAGTCCTCTACTTCTCATTCAGCTTGGTGCAGGGCCTGTCTCTTTTCCACTGTGTTGCCAACCCCATCCTCTACAACTTCCTCAGCAAGAGCTTCCGCAACAACCTGATCAACAGGGTGGTGACCTGCTTACCCAGAGAAGAGCCTGCGGACCAGGTGGGATCAGGAAACCAGCCCAACGCTCCGAATGGCGGCGGGGACCCGAGAAAGCAGCGAAAGTTGAGCAACACCAGCACAAGCCAGTCTGATGTTGGATCATAAGAAAGAAGCTGAGATAAGAAAAGAGTGTAAGCTTCAGGAGTGAGACGTTTGACAGAACCGAATCCAGTGTTGGTGCCTCAGAAATGGGCTCACCAACACCTTCATCTCATAATCCACTTCCTGTTTTTACTTTCATCATGTATCTGATCACAGTTTTACACAGAGGAAGGCAGGAAATGTTTGATGTTCTTTTTTTTTTCTTTTCTTTTTTTGTTTTACCCTCAAAGCTGCTCAAATCCCACAGGAACTCACAGCAGCAGCCACTAAAATTTAATGGTACACGGGAAGACCAGTGCCACACCAGGAATGTGTGTAAACAAATGCTGCTGTCTGTCCAGTGCCAGATAAGAGCCATCCTCATACCCATATAAACATGTGAAAATGTTGAATAGCCCATAGCACACACAGATAAATTATAGCTCACATTTATCGGTTTCTTAGCTGCTGTAGTCTAACAATTTCTGTTAAAACGCAATAAAACGCAATCAAACACTGTTTGTATCCATCTGAGCTGCAAAACCTGAGTTGAGCTTTCTACTTTTGTTATCGTGATAGAGTAGAGCGATGGAAAAAGCATGTTTGGAAGCTTAACGTGTTTGTTTTACTGAGTTTGCTGTTCTTGCACTTGGCTATCTCCCTTCTTGCACATACTGTTGATCTTTATTACATCTACTTCCATCTGGAATGTGTCACATTCAACGCTTAAATGATAAAGAAAGCAGAAAAAAGGAAAAGGGGGACTGTCAGTCCACAGATGGCACAATGGCAGGAAAAGACAAGGCTTTAAAAAGGGCAAAGGTCACGAGCCCCTGGAAGCAGGAGGTTCACAACACTACGCAGATTTCTGCAAGTTCATCACTGGAATTCTGATGATGGATGAATTTTTTTGGTTCAGGACATTGTAAAAGAAAAAAGGTTGTCCAAAACAGACTTTTGAAAAATCATTAAAGGTTTATAACAGTTTTCCAAGAGGCATTTATTTGATTCTTTTCAAAAACCAATATTTAAAAAATAATAAATAGTTGCACTGTGATCAAAAATAAGACACAAATATGTGATGGGCACTCGTATATGGACACAATATCATGTTTCCTACAGCACAATATGCTTCACACACTCTCAGCAAGTGAATACAGCATGTGACATTTTCTGAAAGCGCTCAATGACAAACACACAAATGAAACACTCCTTCATATGGCAAGTTATGTTGAAAAAATGAAACTTTAAAAGGACATTAAAAAATCGTACCGTGTGAAAATAGCGACTGCAAATATAGGAAAATAATTTCTATGCTACAATGAGGTGCTACTTTAATAACAGTGTAATTATCAATCACTGACATTAAAAACCTATCCTGATACTTAAGATATAAAGATACAGACGTGTTTGGATATAAGCAGTAGTACTGCGTCACGGTCAACAGTCCACAGGCTTCCCTTCTTTCACTGACACACAACAGGATACACTGCCACCAAGTGGCTTCTTTTTTTATCAGAGCTCAGAGAGACGAAACCTCCAGACAGGTCGACTCAGTGAACGGCATCTGACACATAATATCTCCACTACATTCTAAAAGTCTAAGTCTATCATAGAGCTGAAACAATTAATCGATTAGTCAATCACAAGAAAATTGATTTATGAGGATTCTGATATTCAATACGGTCGTTGAAGTAATTTATGAAGACAAAAATTCAAATATCTGGTTTCAGCTTCTCAAATGTTGGAGTTTGCTGCTTTTCTTTGTCTGATATGATAATAAACTGAACATTTGGGGGGTTTTATTTCACAAAACGGGTCATTTAAAGATGGCACCTCGAGTTCTGGGCAATTGTGACATTGTAACATTTTTTTTTTTTCTTTTTTTTTTTCCAAGTTATTGACTAGACAATTTATCAATAATGAAAGTAATCGTTAGTTGCAGCCCTAGTCTATTATATGCAGTATATGGTCCATAACAACCAGACACACAGCTGGTGTCAGACTGAGGGTAAAGGGACGAGGAGAGCTGCACCGGGCCGACACAGGGTCGATCAGGTGTCCACAGTGGGCAGCGGCTCTTTCGAGTGATCATTGTACATGAAGGTCTGCTCGATGTTGAAGTCCGGCGGCAGGTGGTCCTTGTGGAGCTCCATGTGCGACGACACCAGCTTCAGCGTGGAGAAGTAAAGGCCGCAGACGGTGCAGCGGTACATGAGGGCGCCGGCGTGCGTCTTAAGGTGGCAGATCATGGTGGAGCGGCCTCTGAAGAAACGCAGACACACTTTGCACTGGTAGGGTTTCTCCCCGGTGTGGATGCGCAGGTGATAGGTGAACTCCCCAGAGTGGGCGAAACGTTTACCGCAGTAGCGACAACGGTACCATTTCCCACGGACCCCTGCTGCTCCGGCTCCCCCGTCCTGCCCTGAGCTCCCGTTGGTCATGACCCCAGAGGACAGGCTGTGTGCTGGCCCCTGAAAAAACTTATCTGGTATGCTGAAGCCCATTCCCAGGCCCAAACCCAGGTTGCTCATTTTAACGAGACCACTGACCTCCCGTGGAGAGGAGGAGGAGCAGGAAGATGGAGGGCACTCCAGAGACTGGTCAGCTTTACGTTTGCCTAACCAGCCCTGGCCCCCAACACCTCCTCCGCCCCCCAGGGACTCGTTGGTGTGCAGGCTGAGGTGGTACTGAAATGCGGATGAGGAGCGGAAGGTCTGTGGGCAAAGGAAGCAATGCAGCTCCTCCACTCCTGCCAAACCCCCGACCCCGACCCCATCTGCCCCGACTCTGTACGCCCTCAGCGCCGACCGCTCCCTCTCCTTAGCCGTCGCCTCCTCAGCGTGTACAGCCATATGTCTGTCCAGGAGGGGGCGCTCTACGAAGCAGCGGGCGCAGTGCGGGCAGGTGAAGACGGGCAGAGAGAGGTGTGCGAGGGCGTGCCACAGCAGGGAGCACAGGGAGAGCTGAGGGAGGTGACACAGTCCACAGCTCAGACTCTGAGGACACACGTGGCTCAGCAGGTGGTCTTTGACGGTCTGAAGGTAAGAAACACATTGTCAGGTGGTTTAATGTGGAATCAGCTCAATCTCCTCTCTGGCGTATACAGGTTATACGAACATCACACTGTGTCTTCAGTTCCGAGCTCCTTTCCCACATTATTTGTTCTTAGTGTTCAAATGAGAAAAGCCACATATACTGAAAAAAACATATAAATGCAACATTTTTGTTTTTGCTCCCATTTTTCACAAGTTGAAATTAAAGATCTAGGACTTTCTGCAACCAGACCAGACCAGAGGCGTCTTTCTCTCAAATTTTCTTTACAAATGTGTGTAAATCTGTTAGTAAGCACTTCCCCCAAGATTGTCCGTCCAGCTGACAGGTGTTTCTTATCAAGATGCTGATTACCCAGCATGATTACTGCCAGGTGTGCAGCAGGCTGGTCAGGCTGGCCGTTTTATTTATTAGGCACTGCACTTCGAAGGGAGGAGGCAAGTCACTATTTGGTGTGACCACCATTGGCCTCATGCAGTGCAACACATCACTTTTGTACAGAGTTGATCAGGTTGTTGATTGTGCTGTGCAAAGGATGTGCTGGATACTGACAGGAAGTGGAACATGCTGTAGTACACACAGAGGTCATCACGGTATGTATGTGCGTGTGTATCTTTTGTGTTTATAGAAAAAGTCTCATCTTTTATTTCAACTCATGAAAATTGGCAAAAATGAGGGTTCTCTTCCATGTTTTTTTTTTTTTTTTTTTACCAACCATTGATTACGAAATGCAAATTATGTAGAGATGCATAAAGACTTGCTGTGTGTAATAATATTGCTTGTGTGCTGAGAAAAAGTTTTTCTTATAAAACAAGTCTAAAAAATCCAATTCAATCTAAAAAACATTTGAATAACATTTATGAAATGATGGACAACAATGTGATGTATATGATATTTGTAAATAACGGGCTTAATAGTGCCAGATAACACATTATGAAATTTGTTAATTAATAAATGTATCAAACTGACCTGACATTATGTTTTTAACTGCATCTGACTTACTTCAAAATCCGTATTAAACATCCACCCACCTGGAAGTCCTTGCTGAGGGTCTTGGTGCACGCAGCACACTGCAGCTCGGAGCTCAGGCCTTGGCTGCTGTTGGTAAGCGCCCCATGTGGTATGGTGTAACTGGAGGACGTCTGGCGGTGGTGACGCAGCAATTTGCTTTGGCTGCAGAACTGCAGGTGACACATGTCACAGGTGAAGAGCTGCACCCCAATGTGGGAGAGGGAGTGGGTGACACCAGCAGCGCGGTCCGGGAATGAGGCCCCGCACACCCTGCAGAGCCCCAGCTCCGTCAGGTGGGTCTCTGCGTGTCTGCGGACGGCAGCAGGGTCTGCTGGGAGAGGCACTGCGCAGGCTTTACATGCCAGCATGTCTCTTGACACCTGGAGGAGTGGACAGCGTTAGTTTTAGAGTAAGGAAAACTCAACTTGAGTAGGAAACTAGAAAATGCAAACACTTGACAGCCAAATTATTTACCGCTGTAGGTGGAAGTAGGAATAAAAAGCATAAAACTGCATCCTAAATAGTAGAAATTTTAATCTAAGATATGAATAAGCTGAAAAATCACTTAAAAACCAGTTTAAAGTTTGAATAAAGTCTGTTGCTGATTTTCTCTCAAACTTTTGTTAATTGTATGAACGGGAGACGTACTCACTTCTACAGAACAATAGACAATCATTTAACCCACACATCCAACACAACTCCTCATTGACACCAGTCATAGTTCCTTATGTAATTAGCATGTGGTGTGTTTCATTAAGCTTCATTATTTCAGTGTCTCTCTCTCGCAAGCGTTTTATATACACTGCATGGTTGCAACTGGAGTGGACTGCCTAGAACGACAGCGCAATCGTGGGGGGCGGGGTTGCTGATTTGTCTTATACATGATCTCATACTTGAGAGTAATAAGGGTAAGAGTTAATGTGTCTAATTAGCTAATAAGAATCAGCTTTGTTCATTTCTGCCCAGATACTGCGTTCCTACCACCTGCTGAGACTGGTTGCTATCAGCTTCTGAATTTGTATTGCAGTCTATGGGAGAATTGCTATGATGGTTGAACGGTTCCTGTAGCTCAAAGTATGTGCGAGTAATTAACAAGTGAAGGAAAGTAAATGGAGGAGCTCAATTATAAGACCAGTGAAGACGGCTAAATTTAATGTCTACTACTGTATTTATTGTTGTACTGTCCAGTCTGAACTGTTATCTCTCTCTATGAGTACTAATTCATAAACGTGTGTGTGTGTGGGGGTCTGGCTGTGCTTGTAAACCTCAGACATCAATCAGATGCAAAAAAGCGTGCAGAAGGCTGAAGAATAATAAAGATTTGAATAACACTCACACTAACTAAACAATCCTGCACATTGTCAATCATTTGAACTCAGTTTATCAACACAGTGTTTCAGTTCTCAGACCTTCATCAGGCAGAATTCAAACAGAACATTTTACTACAACTGACACAAACACTACCTGGCTGCTTGAGTTCCCTCCCTCTCCGTTTTCCACGCACACAAGGTCGTCTTCATCATCCTCTTCATCTCCCTCCTCCATGAAGTTCTCGTCGTCGCTCAGCTCGATGATCTCACCTGCCAGGTGTCTCCACTGCTCCTCCTCTGTTCCCTCCATTGCTCCGTTACCTTGCAGAGCCTCTCGCTCCTCCTCATTCTCTCCCTCCTCCACCTCTCTAAACATCAGCCTGCCGTCCCGCTGTAGGTCCACCACGTCACCCTCCACCGGTCCGACCTGCAGGCTACCGAGAGGCTCTCCCGAGGAGGACGTCGGAGCGCAGGCCTCGGCTCCGAGATGTGCCGAAGAGTCAGGGAAGGAGCAGGAGTCGGATGGTGCAAGATCGCTGCTCTGAGGCAGGGAGACACCTGTGCTCTCGGAAACCATTTGCCCATCTCTGTTGGCTTCCTCACAGCTGCCTCCTGCCTCCTCCTCTTCCAGCCCCTGCTCAGTCTTCAGCTGGAGCACAGGACCCAGAGGCAGCACGCCGTCACTCTGACTGGAGTGGCTGCTGCTGGTTAAAAGATGCCCATCTGGTAGTTGATGATCTGCTGCCATCTGTCCATAGCCAATATTAGACTGGACGTCTTCTGCCTTCAGGACCAGAGTGAGAGCCCCGGTGTGAGCTTCAAGCCCAGCCCTGGCTGTCCTGGCTTGAAAGAGAGGTGAGGTAGCAGCAGCAGGAGTCGGGGCAGCAGATGAAGACAGAGACGAGCAGGAAGCGGCAGATGAACACACAGAAGACGCGGATACAGATGCCGCACCGGCGACAGCCACCGTGGAAGCAGTAGCAACCATGGTCGAGTCCAGAGTGAGGTCTGCAGGACTGCTGGCTTTACAGTTTGCAGACACAAGCAGGTCAGGGAAGATGGCGTGACAGGCCCTCACCAGTTCACTGATGCCCAGCCTCTCAGCCAGCTCGTACAGCACCCCAACGTCTATGAGATCAGTCAGGATCTCCCCCGTGTAGACGAACGTCAGCACCTTCTCAAAGTTGGCTGGGGAGATAAACTCCAGAGAGAAGGCGGTGGTGGACGAGGCCGGAGCCCGGGCTAACAGGTTCCGGAAGTAAGTCCCGGCACAAGCCAGCACCGCACGGTGTGCTGCGAATGTGCGGTTTCCAACCTGCAGTAACACATCACAGTACTGACGTGATTGGCGGCAGCGGTTGAGCTCAGTAAGAAGGCTGGCAGCGTGGCCAGGACCCTGCAGCCGGATCCTCATCCCTGCTGCTGCTCCTGGTGCGCTACAGTCCAACTGCAGGAACAGACGAGACGGTCGTTAGAGCAGAAGAGGAGCATGTGTGAGACATCGTGTGAGACATCAGGCAAGAGTCTCTGTCTTTCTTCAGCCTTGAAGGTACAGTCTATCTAATTTGAGCTTCATTTACAGTCACTAAGGCTGTAATAACTATTGTTTTCATTACTGATTAATCTCAATTACCCATTGTTTAGTCTACGAAATGTCAGAAAATACTGAGTGACCAAGTGACGTCTTCAAATGTCCAACCAACATTCAGTTAATGATATAAAACAGAAAAAAAGCAGCAAATGTTCATATTAAGAGGCAGGAAACAGCCCCATTTTTGGGCCATTTTGCATAAACTTTGAATTACTTTAAATATAATTGATTAATAAAATAGTTATGATTTGATTACAGTCGATCAACTAATTGATTAATCTACTAATCACTGCAGCTCTGCTCCAAAATGCATTACAGTTTTAGGCTGCTGTTGAGACACCATTACCAGGCTTTAATAACATGCCATGCATATGTCATTATGGCTGATTTGTAGACTGATTATTGAAATAATTAAGTCAAATGAAATATAGAGATTCTTTACTACAGACCTCTGCTTCCAGACACGCACAGCTGTCATTGTAAGACCACTATTCGTTTGTTTTTAAATGCATTCAAGACCTGAAACACTTTGTGAGCTGCTTCAGTGATTTATGATCTAATAAAACGGAGCCAGTTTGAACCAGATACACTGTGGTAACTCTCTCAGCTAAATCACACACATCTCTTCACTGCAGATTCACCCTCCTGTTAATGTGACCGTCCCGTTTCTTATCGTTACTGTTACTCACCCATTGACAGACGTTTGCAGACGGTGAATATCCGTCGTATAGTCTCGCGTTTTCCGGCGGGCTTCGGTGCTCGGCCACGGTTTATAGGTTTTACATGGTTTTACAGCCCCTTGTGTTCCTCCGTCGCGTTTTCGTGACGTGTGTCAACAAAGCGAGTAGTGAGCACGCCCCCTACAGCCCGGCCCAGTAATTACAGCAGTAAAAAGGTCAGACTACAAACGTAGCAGAGGTGGAGGACGTACTGAGATATTTTACTGCAGTATTAGTAGCAGTACCACAGTGTGGATATACTCTGTTACAAAATACTGTTACTACTTAAAATACTACTTAAGTGCAAAAGTATTGTTATCAAAATATACTTTTAGTTACTAAAGTTTTTTATGATGCAGAACGACACCTAGCCAAATCTGGTGAAGTGGTGAAATAAACTGCCCATGTAGTATAATATATGATATCATGTTATATCATTATATTGAAATTATTGATGCAGTAATATGCATTTTATTTTATTGTTGCAGCTGGTAAAGGTGGGGCTGATTTTAATATTTTCTTTATTATTTTATATATTTATTAAGAGTTTAAGATAAATAGATTTTTTTATTTTCCAGGCCTGAGATAATATCATCCAGATGGAGAAAATTCTGACAAACAGAAGAGATAGAAATCTGAAAGTAGATTTTGTACTTTCTATTCAGTCTGTTAATCTGGTCCAAGTGTACCATGTGTAGATATGTTTTTGTAGCTAGACCTGATCTATATCAGATCTAAAGTGGTTTGGAGTTTAGACTCTGGGGGCCCCAGGCAAAGAATCGAAGCCCATCGAAGAAAAATACTATGCAAACTGATGGCAGATGTTATAATTTACAGATGTCCCCGAAATGCCTCACATGCAGGCAGTGGGGGTTTGGGGAGGCAGCAGTGCGCTAAATAGCGTTTTTATAAACTATAAAAGAGGTTTATAATCATCGTTGCAAAATGTGTCATTATGAGGGGCCATCAGGGGTCCTTTTTCCCCTGGGGAGCCCCAAACATTTGCCTGGTTTGCCTCTCCTGGGTGTGCACCTCTGTCTTTTGGCTAAAATCGTTGACCTACTGTCAGTGCTACAGGGAAAGTCTGCAGGATTCCTCTTCTGGGAGACGTGGATATAGGGGCCAAATTTCATGGCTTTCCAGCTGATAGTTGTTGAGATATTTCAGCTTGGACCACAATGGTGGACCAACCGAACAACACACTGACATTGCTGTGACTTTAAAATGGCATAAGAACATGCTATAAAAACAATATTATGCATCAGGTGTGTCAAGACACGAAGCCAAAATAAAACACGACAAACTATCATAATAATGCTAATAAAAAAAAGTTTATTTTATTTAACCATTCCTTTTTGATCATGAGGGATTCACATGACCCACGAAGTGTCAGAAGTGACAATGACACCTGTAACCGCTTCATACTTCACTGTAAACTCATGGGAGCGACCTACACAGTAACAGTAATATGATGTATGAATAATGTCTTTGTTTTTATGCAGTCTTCTGGCTATCCCAAACAAAACCTTTAACAAACAGCCACATGTTTACAGATGTAAAAGCATTTGTTTACTGGTTTATGCTTTTATGTGACATGTTGGAGAATAAGAAATTATAAAAGACAATGAAAAAACAAACTTGACATATTTTCAAAACTACCAGTAAGAAATCATTTACAAAAATTGAGTCTTGATTTTTCAGTTGTGTCTTCGTTACAGAGTTTAACATTAAGTTTGTAGTATAGGTACATTTACAGGATATTAAAACGCCATATCTTTGACCTGTGAGAGTAACACTGACATATTTCATATTCCAAACCATTCATTTTTCTAGTCTAAGCAGAATTATCTCAGCTGATTTGTTTATATATAAACTGACCTTTATACTGCTGCAACAGGCACACATAACTAACAACATGACATATTGTAGGTTTATGTTTCATTTGTAAAGCCAAAGGGAAAAAATAAAATAGCTGTTTTGGTCCAGTCACAACAAATTTGAATAAAAGCACCACCTGCTTGATGTAATAACTCTCTCACAAGTGACCACAAAGTCATCTGACAGAGTTTCCTCTAAGACTTGTTGCCTTTCACGATCATAGCTGAATTATTGCACTTCTTCTGGAGGAAGTGAAACAGAGGAGTGTCTGCTCTAAAGTTACAGAGGACAGCTACAAAGTTCTACTTGAGTCATTTTGAAATGAGGTCAACAACAACACAGTATTTCAGCAATATATCTGTCATCAACAAATTGAATGAATATTGCTTTTAAGTTGTTTGATATGTTGTTCGGTCTTCAGAAGCATTTTTTAATGATATAGTCCTGTCATTTTTCTTATAATACACCCGTCTCCAAAGTCAGCTCCGCCTGTATCCTAAAGGTTACTTAACCATCACCAGCCCCTAGTGTGCTAGCATCTTCAGTCCACGCTACGACACCCGTTTCCTGGAGCTGGTTCGGCCCAGGCTGGCGGTGCTGGACCGGCGGGAGAGGATAGGTGTGGCAGTGGTAGGGGACATCTCGTTCGGACAGCCGTGTTGATGCAAAATATCAATGCAGCCTTTGCTCCCGTTTTTTCTGGCCATCATCATGGCTGTCTGGCCGAGGTTATCTTTCGCTTTCACGTCGATTCCGTACTGCAGGGGGAGAGAGAACATGATATTTGTTCAGATTAAATATTGATTACAGGTAGAACAGTGTGTGCTGTGAGAACCGTCAGAATCGAATGCATTTCTAATTAAATCAAACTACATGTTGAGTATGGCAGCATCCACGAGACAAAGTAGATACGGACTCTGTCTGCAAGACTAAAGTACTAACTGCGGTCATAAAAGTCTTAGGTTCACTCTGTGTCAGCTGGTTTCTGGAACCTGATTAACTGCAAATTTATTGGGAAATTTGCACCCCTGAGGAGCAAAGGGAAGTCCTGCATTATTAACTAATTTTGTCTTGTAGAGTAGAAGGGCCCTGTGTCAGAACCTCATTTTAAGACTGTTTATATTACAGTTTATATTGTGCCCACATGGTGTACATTGCTAAAGTTTGATGTAGTGTTTAATCAAATTCCTGGAGAACTAGTGGAGTCTGAGTCTCGGGGAAAATGAAACTGCCACAGCCCTGTTAGAGCAAAAAGTTGCAGGAACTATGGAACCACATGAACTTAAGTACAAAATAAAAATCCCCTTTGTGCATTCATGTTTGCATTTCACCAAATCTGAAGAGCCGTGTAGATTAGGGCTGTGGGACACTTTAATCTTGGTGCTAACTTTATCTGTGTTTTGTTCCGTACTGGACTCTTGACAAATGATGCATTTTTTGGAAACTGTTAGTGTCTGTGCAGAGTATTTTAGGATCCCCATATGACAACAACAGCTGAATTGGTTCAGACTTAAACGGTTTCCACACCAAAGGTCCTACTACAGACCTTATATTCGCTTTTCATGCCAAAACTACAAGTTGAGGCAAAAAAAACAACAACTTTCTACCATGTTTGAGCCTCTTTAACTTTGGTTCAGTATCTCTTATGTTCATTTGTGATTTTTTTGGTGTTGAAATTTACCTTTCAAAGCAGACCAGGGTTTTTATCTTTTTATTTTGGGTCTATCATTTTTCAGCCTTGTGCACCCAAATGTGGGTGTCTGGTAACAGGTTAAAAAATGACAACGGCCACAAATCTTTGTTAGATAATTAAACGACATTCTAAACTATCAGAATATGAACAATAGGGACTCATTCGGGACTTCTTTACACCTCAAACTATCCTACATAAATTAAATGTAGTCTCTAGTTCCACCGGTTGAAACTTGGGTTTAGCTGCTGAGTTCCTCAACAGGAGTTTTTTTCAGCGTCATCGAGGTGTCATCAAAGTGTCTCATGGATGGGTCGTATTTTAAAAGCTTAATCTGGCTATAGTAAAACCATCAATGTATAATACATATTGTCTTTTTTTCCTGACATATCTGAGCAGCTAAGAGTAAACAGAGGAGAAACCCACCCAGACGAGCAGCTGAGTCATGACTACATCTCCCAGCTGACAAGCAGCGTGCAGGGCCGTGCGAGGTGGCAAAGTCGACCCGGCCAGTTGAGCATTGATCAGTTCCTTGGTGCTGTGGGCCAGAAGAAGCAACAGCTTGGGCAGATCTCTCTCGGTGACTGCGGACAGCAGCCACACCGGCATAGTGTCCTCCGGCAGCTGGGTACCAGAGGCCGGCCGAAGAGGTGCCACAAATGCCCGCTGTTCATACTTGGCACGAATCCAGGACTCTCTTTCCTCACTGGTAAAACAGACACACACACACACACAGGAGACCTGGTCATGCATAAGAACATACATATACATGAACATATCAAGGTGTTAGTTTCCAAAGTGTGCAGCGAGACACCTTTCTAAGGAGACAGTTCTCGCTGCCAGATGTTTCACATTCAAAATGTGTAAATTTCAGTGTAGCTGTCATGTCATGTTTATGGATTTAAAATCAAATATCCAAGTAGAAAAACATGTCTTTAAACAGGTCTTTAAAGAACCATCACCATATGTGTGTTAATGTATTTGTCAACAATTATAAATCATTTTGAGAAACTATAACTGCTGTATAAACGATACTGAAAGACTACCAATATAGTGTAACTGTTAATATTATGTATATTGAAATATATTTTAATATTTAGCATTTATATATTGTATCCATTTAAATATTTATTTGTTTATTCATTTATGCCCAATGACAACTGAACAAACTCCATCCACTGATGAAGGCCATGAGACAGTGGTAAAAGTACAGGAGAAATCTACAAAATAGACCTTGAACCAAACTTTTATTTCCACGGTCACACATGAACATGTTTATAAACCATGTTAAACCCGCCTGTGAGTGATTTGTATATTTGAATAAAGTGTTAATAGATGTTTTGTAATCCACTCTTAGGATTTATTAATGTGTGTAATCATATAATATTAAATATGATTGCAGCTATCAAGCTATATTACACAAGTATCAATAATTCATTAGCTGTTTAAAGTTGAAGTTGTAATTGACAAATACGTTAATACTCTTAAAAATGTATTTATTTCTGCTCACCAACATTATAGTGTTGTTAGAGTTTTTAATATACTGTTTATAAATGCTAAAATGTTTATTCTAATAGCAAGTTTCAAGTGTCATGAGCTGAAACCAGATGCTGTTTGAAAATGCATCCATCCATCTAACATTTTGGTCTCCATCAAGTAAATGTGTTGATGAGGTTTTGCCCACCGTGTTGCGTTAGGCGTGGGTTTGGTTCTGCCCTGCGTGCAGCTCTCCCAGATGCTGTTGGCCATGTGGTTTCCGATGGCGGCCAGTACTTGTGTGAGCTCTCCAGGCCAGTCATCCAGGTCCAGCGAGCGGACGCGAGACAGGTGAGTCCCCAGGTTTCGATGGATCCCCGAGCACTCAATACAGATCAGTGCACCCAGATTGAGACTGGCCCAGGTGGGATCTGCAGGGGGCAAGAGAAGAGAGACTGGTTAGTACCAGAAGTATGTCCACAATGAATTTAGAAAGATTATCAAGTGGAAATAAAGTGTGTAAACTGTAGCAGCACCGCAGGCTGTGGATGGTGCATAAAAGCAGAATTATCCTGCAGAGTAAATCTGCATCTGGAGAGGAAGATGGGAACATTTAAGAACTCACTCGGTGCTTCGCAGTCCACACACAGACCGTTGCCCTTGGCGTTACGGATGGCCTGAAGCGCTACAGCCTCACTCTGACTGCTCCTACGCGCCTGCACAGTCATACACAAACACACATTTGAATCATTTATTTATACCTACACTGTTACTCCTATTTCATAAACGGTACTTAAAATCCACCTCGGCCTCTGTGTGAATGGTTAGATTAAGGCACATAAAATAATGACACCATATCACATGTATCGATTAATATGTCACACTGTATCATGTGTATTGATTATGATTAAAAAAAAAGATTACAAAAGAGAGGCAAACAAGCTGTACAGATATCTTACACAATTAGAAAATTGTTATCAGATCTCAAGTATTTCTTTCTAACATTAAATACTCAGGACTTAATTCATCAAAGTTAAAGTCCAGAATTAAAAACATCCTTACTTATCATTCATTATTTATAAAGAGTCTAACTCAAGTGTCCAAGTGTCTTTGGTGCAGCCATAAATTGCAGGGCTAGCTGGGAAGCTAACTGCTAACAACTAGCCTGTCAGGAACCTGTCATTTACAACAGTGCTCTGAGCTTCTTTCTATTTTCTCTGTAGTGGGCTGTTTAACTCCCTACCCGGCATTTGGTCTGAGGGTTTTACAGTATTTCATACAATCAAGTTACTGAAGAAGATAGAAAAATAAAGCTCACTAAGCTAACAAGCATGCTAACTCTTTACTTAAAGCGGAATCCCCTCTTTTTTATTTAGGCTACTGTTGTTGTGCAAAGTTTCTTCAGGCAGATGTCTAAAGAAACTGTGGGAGCAGAGAACAATGTGCGGTTTATACTTTTTGTCGTCCATTTGGTCTTTTGCAGGCGCACGCTTTTTTCTCTAAACACAGAAAAGCAGAAATAACCAAATCTATTCCAACTTCGGTGTTCATGTACGACCCCATCACTCATAGTAAGAAGCTGATTGAGAAAATGTGTTTTCTGGGCTTTTTTTTTTCTTCTCTACCTTGTTTCTGCCGCTCTCACAGGACTGCAGACTCGCCAGAATCTGGCTCTCTATAGCCGACACCCACGAGTCCCTTTCCTCCTGGCTCTGAGCGTCAAAGTGCCACGTCTGCCCAGTAAACGACACAATGATAAAGTCTGCATTCTCCTCCTCTGCAAGTAAAAGGATGGAACAAACTGAAGTGAGATTTGCATGTGAACAAGTGTTACTAATTTACAGTGGATTATTATAATGGACGTTATGAATCCACGGTCAGTGAAGTAAGTAATAAAAACAAATGCAAACAACTCATGACAAAACTGATGGAAGGTGAAAACAGAAAAATCTTGTTATTACAAACAAAACAAGTCAAATGAAGAACTGAGGCTTGGGATGAAGGTAACGCATGTCAGGCACACTGAGGAGTATAAACACACACAGAAAAGATATTGTATGTAAAGCTGAGCACAAGCTGATTCAGCTCCATCACCCTCTCTTGTTACCTGTCTTATTAATGTTTCTCAAGCTACCAAAGCTCTTTAATTTCCACATTTTGCGTTTGGCTGCAGAGCGAGAGATAAGCACAGGAAGAGGAAGAAGAGAAACAGAGAAAGACAAGTGCAATTGTTAAGAAGAGGATGTTAAGAAAGACAAACACCTTCACTGAACCATATTCTTATGGAAGAGAAAGAGGTAGAAGATAAAGTCTTCAGAAAAAGAAAAAAAGGTGCGTAGGAATATGTAAATAATGTGATTATGAAAGCATCTCTTTTTTTTTTGGTAGGTTCCAGTTGTTTCTAATAACAGGTGGTGATTGATTCATCAAATGCTCTTCTTCTTCAAAATGTAAGTTTTATTTTTGCATATTTATTCATTTTCTATGTGTATGTAAGTATCTATACAGTCAACACGAAAACCACACTACTATCAATAGCAGTTGAATTTAATGCAAAGAACTTCCTGGTAAGAAGTGAAACTTGAACGTTACCTTCAGCTTGACCAACGGCTGCATCTCCTTTCTGATTCATGCTCTTCTTCCTCCTGTTCTTCTTCCTGTCGCTCATGGGGGACGACTGGCCGGGGTCTTTTCCAGCAAAATGACTGGCGGTCCCTTCAAGAGCATCTGACATTTGGTGCAGAAATAATCAATCGTATATATGACAGAATTGTTTTGCAGTCATAGCTATAGTCGATGTATAGGCAAAGTGTTTTTGACCTGAAAGGTTTTACTTCCTGCAATACGTACCAACACTTTGTGCTTTGGTGGACAGCGAGGAGGGGCAGCGCTGAAGTCCTCTCTCTCCGCCTTGAGGAGACAAACCACCAGACCGATCATCAACCACTGACAGGGTGGCTGGACACAACTGAGGAACTGAGGGAGATGTAAAAGTTTTTTTTTTTATCATATTTAAATTATGTGCAAGAGGATGATCTCATAGACCACCGACTAGTTAATTCAACTCTTTCAGTACCCAGGAGAAACATATCTTTCATGTACAGTAACTTTTCATCATACTCTAAAGTTTTAATTCCAGACTGAAGAAAGTTAGATTAGGATAAAATTTGGATCAATGTCGTCAGGGGCCTCAAGTTAGGCTTTGTCACATGACCTAGATAAAGATATGGCTTGCTGGTCGAAGCGCTTATTGCTAAATACTGGATATTTCCACAAACCCTGAGACTAAAACACTGGCTCCACTGTCTTCTATACATTATGTTTCAGCCTCTTCTACCACGGTTGGTTCATTGTGATGATAAAACAGCGTCTGTGAAAGGCTATGTTCTTGACCCATCGAGATGAAAGACAATTTATCTTTAAGTGTTATCATCCTCCTCCTTTCTGAACCTTTATTATTTTACTGTACTTTGTAGATTTTCTGTAGAGGAGGGGACAGAGGGCTCCTGGGTAATGTGAGTTTGTCTTGTTTTGCTGAATGGCTGCATGGATAGCTCACATCATTTAAGGAAAAAATGAAAAATTTTAAACAGATGAGCTTGATTATATTCTATATTATTCTTGCTGTCCCCACAAGAAAGAAAAAGCCAACAATGAACTGATCCTTACGAGCAGATATTTCCTCTGTAGTCCGTAGCTCTGCATCACAGAGCTCTATTAAAAACACATCAATGAGCCACACTGTTGAACTATGTGACATGTTCCTTTATTACTCTGAACACTGAACTCTGTCAAAGCCACATACACTGTGCGGGTGTACTCACCAAAGCACTAAATGTGGATTAATCCACAGCTAAAATAGTCACCAACATTTGTAGTGTTTACTCAAGTTTGAGTTACATTTGCTAAAAACCACCGTGCCCAGCTGTTTAAGGACGTTACTGAGCATTTAAAAAAAAAAACATGAGATGCTTTTAAAGATGAGGCTGGTGAAGTGTTGAAAAATGGACTAACACTTTTTTTTTGTCTCTTCATGGGATTTGTTGACAGTAAGAAACATTTAGAATAACACCAGCTGTATCTTGCTTATAATCTCTGCCCCTGCGATCAGACCCCTCGGTGACAAGTATGCATGCTGTGTTTACGTGCACACATGTAGAAGTACCTGTGCTGGTGCTATCAGCGGCTGTCGGGTCCTTACTCAGCCCGTTAACTCCAGCTACAGAGCCAGGGGGCACAGGTGAGGGGCCCACAGGAGCAACGGCTCTCGGAGGACGTTTCCCAGGAACTTTAACTGTCACACGAAGCAGGTCTATTTCTTTTCCATGGATATTCTGTGTGTAGTCCTGAAACCCACAAAACAGGTAGAAATTTTCACCAAGGATATCGATGATCTTTGTGTGAGGTGGGAAGTTTCATGAAGCAGCGTTTAGGTCATGCAAGACTCTTGAAAGATGACGACACATCTTACAAATTAAAAGTTGAATCCATACCAGTACCGATCAATACGCCTGACTTCATCTGATATGGCCGGTAGCTTACAGTGGGGGATGTTAGCTCATGCTAGCAAACTCTAGATAGATCCTGACGTGTTACTGAGTCAGTTCACTGGCCTTATGATTCTCTACTAAAATTAGGCTTTTTTATTTTTGATGATCGATTCGATTTGATCCTCCTGGGGATGGATGATACCAGCTCTTGCACAAAGCTGCTCTTTGCTGGAGGGGTTGCTCTACCTACCGCTTTAAAATATACAGGTTTTCTGTTGGATTAAAGTCAGGCTCACTTTTTGAATTGTTTTTTTTGTTTTTCTTTAGGGTGGACAACAGTTTCTATTCAATGGTGCAGGAAACTCAATGTCTGTGCAAATGGTAAATCATTTTGAATGTTTTGTGGGGGATAAAAATCAATATTAAGCAAAAGTTTCAAAGCAATTTTAGGGTTGGTTAAGACATATGGAGCCTGTATTGAAACCACTGATGCTGAGAGTGTAGTTGAATCTAAAAAGCTGCAGATGTTCTCTCTGTTGCTGATATTTCACTGTGTTTTACTGCCGTATCGATCCGTGCTGTGGTGTTCTCTTACGCTGGAGCTGGAGTGGTAAGACAGCGTGCCATTGTTGGACAGGGTGACGTATTTCTTCTTCCACTCCTTATTCAGAGAGCTACCACTTCTCTTCCACAGGATGCTCTGTCAAAAAAAGACAACCGAGGTCAGTGAACTCTCAAAGAACGACACATTTGAATCAGCCTAAATATAGACTCGACACAACAGACATGATCTCTTCAAAGTGTAGCAGCAAAGGGAAATAGCTCAAAGCGCTTGCACAATATTAATAGAACACCCTTGAGAAAGGTTGAAAGGGATGAAATAAGATATTTTTTTCTTGTGTTGCTTATGTAAGATGAAATACTGTAAATAGACAAGTGCATTTTTGTTCCCACCTCCTCACTGAAGAGGGAATTGGCACGTATTATTGTGCTGCAAGCAAACTGAAGCATGTAAATACCCACTTCATTGAAAATTCAGTTTTGTTTTTTTTTATTTTGTACTGTTTGTAATGTTAACCAAACCTGTTTGATGGGAACGCCCCGCACGCTGCTCAGGTCTCCTTTAGGATCACCAGCTTTCTTATCCGTGTCCCGGTTCTGAAACAAATCCAAAACATGCGTTTACAGGAGCAGAGGATTTGAGCAGAGAGAGTCAGAGCGGGAGCTGAGTGGAGGGAAATGATGGTGAGAGATGACAAGAAGCTAAAAGGTGTGAGACACCAACAGTTTGCAACAACTGACCTTGAAGAGGGAGGGTCGTCTGGGGATGCCCTTCAGCGCACGAGAGTTGACACTGCCTCCCCCCTCTCCCTGCGTAAGTCGCAGCTCTCTGTGACCGACCACAGGGGTGGAGGGGAGGGAGTAGGCGTAGCCACTACTAGGGCCATTACTGGCCTGAGAGGAGGAGGAGGAGTGGGGGAGGACAGCGGGGTCAGGAGGTCAGGATGGAAGTGGAGGGGGATGGGGGGGGGTGGAGGTGTAAGGGAAGAGATGGCAAGAGTGAGAATGGGTTGAAGATGTAACGGGTCAAACAGGTGAAACAGATTTACAGAAAGTGGGTGATGATCGACAGTATGAATTTTTCAGTCGCTGGTTATCGTGAACGAGGGGAATGTGATACTCATGGAGCTGAGATGGATGTGGAGGAAGTGATGAAAGGTCTTTAAAATTAGATTTCAGTCTGATAAATGATTTTGTCTTTATAATGCATGTAACTCTTCCTCGGACGAACTGCCCAGAGAGAGCGCCTCAGTCTGAGTTTTACTCTGAAAATCCTATCTTAGTCATGCTTTCAACGCACAGTTTGTATTCCTTTCCGTGGAATACATTTTCAAATGTGTGTATTTGATTTATCAGAGCTGAAATATGCTGAAAAAAGCTGATTATTGTGGCAACAGGCGAGAATCAGGAATAGCCTATCAGAAACGCTTCTAAAGCTTTTTCTGTTGAAGAAAACACCTGCAGAACAACAGCAGAACACTTTCACTTTGTGTCCTATTTTTATCAGGGTTTATGTAATATCTGTCTCTTGTTTCTCTGTTTAAACAACCACTGAACACGTTTTACACCTGATTCTGTCAGTGTTAGCGCCACAATTTCAATGCATTTCTCACTCTCTAAAAAATTCTAACATACTTTTCATCCCGTAGATAGAGTTGTGTTTCAGGGACATGGAAATATGTGTAAAACAGTACATGTGTGGGATGGGAACCTTGTAGTGGTGTACATTTACTCAATACTGAACTTATTTACAATTTTTGAACCTGTAACTAACTACACTGCAGTTGACTACAATATTAAAATGCTGCTGTTAATAATAATCTAATAGTATATAAGTACATTTCTTTCTTTCTCCCACTATTTGATGACCAAGTTATTTTGTTCATAAGTTTGTACATAACTTGAAAGTATATACAGTAAAATATATAAAGTTGTAAGTGATGTTTTTCTTTTGGTTTCTTGTATGAGTTTCCGGAAGGTTTCTTGCTGTATTTTTGGTCATTCATATACACTCATACTAACCATTTGATCAGGTACACTTGTACAATCTAATGCAACTGTTCTGCTATAGATACCACTTGTATATCGTCTATAATGTTCAGTTTAGGTGTTTGAGGTCATAGTTGGTGCAGGTGTTGAACTGGACTGCATTATATCGACAAGTGTTTCTAATATTCTACATTCATGACAATGTCAAGAAAAAGTGGACATTGTAAACTTCATGAAGGTAGAATCTATGGCAGCACTGTTGGATTGAATTGCATTAGACTGCACAGGTGTACCTAATAAAACTAACTGCAGCTGTCACTGCGTGGTACCTGGCCAGGGAGCGATGCTGATCCAGGTGTGGAGCCTCCGGAGTGACTGGGCGAGTTGGGAAGAGACTTGCAGGCTTGCAGAGCCGCCTGCTTCTTCTGAGCTACAATCTTCTGGGCAGCTGAAAAACACAGAGCAGCCATTAAACCGTTCACTCAACCAATCATCAGCGATATGTGTCACATATATTTGTCTGTTTATTACATTAGAGACCAGACAGAAGCTTTTCTTCATGGTGAATCAGGCCCCTCGTCCTGTGTTTTGTGTGTTAACTCACCCTCTGAAAACACTCGGTCGACGTTGAACCCATAGGTGGCACAGGTCTCATAAAACAGCGAATGACGGACGTCAATACACAACTGTCTGGCTCTCTGATCCTCAATCACACGGGGGTTGGTGCTGCTGATTTTATCTGAATTAAAAAAAGAAGAATAGTGATTAGAAAATTCGATATTATCAAACAATAGTGCTGCAAAGAATGTAAATAATACACACTGTAAAGACTGCAACATATTCTTTGTCATAAATAATGTTATTCTGTGATTCATTACAAAGAGAAATAGTTCTGTTAACCTGTGTGCTTTATTTGGAGAATGCAGAAAAAACAACTTAACTTTATTCTTTGCACTGTAAGATCATAATAAGTTTGAAATTTTGTATTGTTCTAAACTCCAGGCAATTAGATCCTTTTGTCTGTTTCAAGTTTAATTAACATTTTCAAACTTAAAATAATGACTTCAGTTGACTAAGTGTCCAATGAACCATGTACTTAACTCATCAGAGTTATTTAGAAACAGCGTTAGATCATCTGCATATACTTTACAGCATGAAATGCTCTGAAGCAACAGCCCCACCCCCCGGAGCTCCTGCTTTGTTTCTCCTAAGCAAAAAGTAACAAGATGGAGGCCGTTATGTGTCTTTTTATACACTAATGTGTCTCTGAGGAGTCGTATTCTTCTCTCTGATCAAAATTAAAACAATGTGAGCCATGATGAAGATAGGTCCGCACTTCAAACACTTATCACACCCTTGAGTCACAGGAGTCATAATGAGAAACTGTTCCTGGCGTTATTGTGAGTGTCAGCAGGACTGAGGGATGATGCTTCACACAATTAAATCCATCCATCCATTACCCATACCGCTTATCCTTATAGGGTTGCGGCGGCGGGGGGCTGTACCAATTAAATGGTAATGTAATAAAATAAAAAAAAGAAGCCGATCTCATTTGCAAAATGAGAATTTAAAGTGGATACAATATACAGATTTCAGTTGAGAAAAATGTAATATGTTAACAGCAGTAAAAGTTCTAAGTTTCTCTGTAACCTCAAGAAGTTAAGGTAATTCACCTAATCATTCTCAACCTATACCTCTGACTGTCATCCAGTTAGTTATGGTTTAGTCTCAGAATATCTAAGTCTACATGTTTGTGATTCAGGTGCTGACCTTGGGTGCCGACCACTATGACCGGGATGTCTGTGCGGAAAGCGCTGAGCTGGCTGTAGAGCTGGTAGAGCTCCTTGAAACTGGCCTCATTCTCCAGGCTGAAGACCAGGATCACTGCGTCAACCCAGCTACAGAACTGAAGGAAGGGGAAGAGGAGGGAGACGTTAGCTCCCTGTGCACGGGCCTGATGGATGATAATGATGAAGTCTGCAGGTAGTTCACACAAACTGCTCACACACGCATTCACGCAAAAAAGCACCTGTGCATCAGGAGATCCAGCTTCCTCCCGGATCAGTAATAAATGACTCTGTCCGTCCACCAGCACTTCCTTTTTATACCTGCCACCTGACAAAGACAATGACAATGACAGACAGGTTATTCAGCAGCTGGTGGCAGCGTGACAGACGCAGGATGAAGCCATATCATGCCGCCTCTGAACAGCTGAAATATAATTAAATATGAGACTCAGTGAGCAAGAAGTCAAGAATATTTTTTTATATTTATTGTTATTTATAAACCAAAGACAGTTTTTAGACAGTATTAAACTCCAGCAGTTAAGGAGCACAGCATCAAGAGGTTTGTCTGTGTTTCTTACCATCAGGCTTCTCAAGTGCAGCATAACTGCCTGTAATGTATTTGTTCACCAACGCTGACTTTCCGCTTTTCAGACTTCCCAAAATGCCCTGAGAGAAGAAGGAAGGAAATACAACACCATGAAACAGTCTGCATGATCACTGTATAGTGCATCAAATACGGGCTAACTCTCAGAGTGAATTAAAAAGCTTTCAACACAATTTTGGTTCCTCAATCAAATATGTTTTTGCTCCTATCAGTTGGTTGAGCCTGTCTGTCAGCACATTTTACATTTCTGCTGTTAGATTGCTGTTTCCTTTCATCCATATATGGACATATAGTCAGTGGTGGAGCTAGTATTCAGATCATTTACTCATGTAAATGAATCATTATCACAATACAAAAATACTCTGTCTGCACAACAAATATTCTCAGCAAGATGTACTTAAATATTGAAAAATAAAATACTGGTAATGGAGACTTGTCCCTTAACAAAGTGTTATGAAACAAGGGTGTAATTCCTCTCCTACCGTTTAAGGTTGATTTTCTTCCTAACGTCTAATCTGGCTGAACTGTCTCCTCTGACTGTTCAACCACTATAATCCTCTCAGGCTGCATGAAGGCTGCCCCACAAGCCTGAAAGGAATACCTGCAGACATTGCTCCGGGACAAAAAAAATAGCCTACTCCCATCTGCATCGTATGGGTTAAAAAGATGTAATCTATACATCTACTAATAGTTAAAATTATTTTAAAAAGAGGCTAAAATGAAACACCAGTCAAAGATAAGATAGTAAAGCGCAGAGCTCTTTGTAGTCATCTATAGGAGGAAACTAACAATATGTTTCCAATTCATATTATTTCAGCCTAAAAACTTATATTATTGTTGTGTTATATTGTGATAACTTCCAAGTGGGTCTGGTCAATATGGAGCCAATTTAATAGCTTTATATACAACTGAGTAGTTTAACCTATTGCAGTGAATCATAGTTAACAGGTTTTAATGAAAAAAAACAAAGAATTAAACTTGATTAAAATGTACTTAGTTACTTTCCACCACTGCATCTATTCAAACTGTGATTAATATTTGTGAAAACGATTGAGGTTTTTGGGTGTAACGTCAAACTACTTTTCAATCTAAACAGCATCTCTGATGAAATGTCACAGTTATGAATAAATGGAATAAATTCCTCTGTGCCCTGCAGTGGGTGGTAAACTTAGGCCTCACCAGTCTTAGCTCTGGGATGGATCTGCTCAGGGTCCACTCTTGGCTGTTGGCAATATTTACTAGAGAGAGACAGACAGAGACAAACAGTCAGTGAGGCAGAGACACAGAGGGAGATTCATCATTGTGATCATGTACAATAAAAAGGGCAGCCATCATAACGGCCTGTGGGAGAGCAATAAATCACACAGCTGCTGCGTGACTGGTCGCCATAAGCACACGTGTGGCCTCGCAGGTCGTCTTAATGAATGTAACCTTTCAGTCACAACAGGGGACCCAACAAGGTGCAGCCACATCACTAGTTATCCACTTTATTCCCCACGTGCTGTAAATGACAAGCAGCTGTGTGGTGACAGTTCAGTTCAGCTGCCACTCAAAGACGTCTGACTCCTCTGTGGATTTGAATAGCAGCTCCCCTCTCAACTAAAATAGATATTTTTTTCTCTGACCGACTCATTTGATGATTGGTTTGACCCAGTTGGACATGGATGTGCAGAAACAAAATGAAAATAACTATAAACAGCATATAAAACTAAAAATGTGTTACCCATAAAACTGAGTAATAACATTCACAGAAAAGTTTTTTTTAAGATTCTGTAAATGAGATTTTAATATACAGCAGCTAACAACTATTTTCTATGTCAAGATATGAGGAGTAATGGCGCCCTGAGCAGAGAAGGAAGTCATGTGTTGTAGGTTGTAATCTTAAATTTCTCTTTGTTTTGGTATGTGGTCTGGCAGCACGTGCATGTTAGTGCACGTGAGAACATGCACGCGACTACCTCCTGTGAAATGTTAGTCCTCCCCAGGTTTATAATCACACAAGGTCCACCCACACACAAGATGGCACAGACTGTAAGCAGCCTTCAAGTGAAAGTGACTTTGTAGAATTTCCTCCGCTGAAGAAATCATGTTTTTGGCTAAAAAAGGCCTCCGACAAAGAAAGAGATGAGACCAGAGCGCAGGCTCAAAACCTGGTTGGCCAGTGGACCTTCAAAACAGCCATAAAGTTTTTAAAGATTTTACCGGCTCCATTATTGTCATTCACGGTCAGCTCCCAGAGGAAGTCCAAGGCTGATTTTCTCTTCTCTCCCAGTTCGACCATTGAGCCAACACTGGTCTGGCTTCAGCGAGATGGAGAACCCTGTGAGCTGCTAAAGGGCTCCAGCTTGACTCAGAACTGGCTTTTCTTCTCCTCAATGCGTAAATAACTTGATGGCTACATAATGTTGCATGTCTGTTTTCATCAGTGACCAGCTACAGTAGTTTAGATAACGTTAGCTCACCGCTGTTATGACTGCTCAGCAAATGTTGCTATCGCTAGCTGGCAAACTGTAGCGCATATCACGGCAATGCTAGCATGGGCTAATGGCTGTGGCTGGATTGTTTCTGTTTGCTCTGGTGTACACAGTGTTACTCTCTTGGCTTGTCGTTGTGTGTTGTTGTAATACGTTCGTGACAGCTTGCTGTCTGTGGTCAAACGGAGGCCGGATGTGTGGCCGGCGAAGCGTTTGTTTTGGTGTGAGATGCTGGCGGTCTAGTGCGATATCTAGTGGAGTGACAATCGTTTACAGAACCTTTTGAATAACTTATTTCCATGGTGGTCAAGGTGGTCTTAAATGCAAATTTATAGTCAATATGATATTACTCACTATACAAATTGCATATTTCCTAGAATACTGAATACATTCATCCATCTCTCCTCTTCCCATTTCATCAAGTAAGAAAATGTTAACACCTGTTTTTAAAAACTGCAATAGATTACCAAGATCTTACATCATTTGGTAAGTTGTTCTGAACTTTAGTCTCCACACAATGAAAACATTTAGATTTAGTAGTACTTTAGCTTGAATCTAAAATTGCAATCCAATCAGCAGTCCAAAACACTATGAATACTGACTACTGATGTGAATCAGAGAAAACATACAACATATATTCACATTTGAGAAGCTGGAACTATAGTGACTGTTTGGTGTTTTATCTTGAAAAATTATTGAAACAATTCATTTTCAACATAATAGCAATAATTTTTCTGATTGTTTCAGCTTTAAAGTGAATTGAGACAAATTTTTGATGCCAAACTGTGAATGTTGTTGTCGGGCGTGTGCTACAGACACCGCATGAACATTCGCACAGACACACACATGCACATACAGTACAGTAGTCTAGAGGGGTTGGGTTGCACACAGCTGTGCCAATGTCCCTACTGGGCAGAAGAGGTAGCATGACCCCAAAGTGACGCTCACACCCAGACACCCAGCTGCAGCTTCAGAGGGACGAGAATAAAGAGAAAGAGAGAGGGCCTTAGGAGGGACTAAAATAGACAGAGACAGAAAAAGCATACACTCAGTTGCCAGTTTATTAGGAACACCTAGCAGTCTTATAAAACAGTCCTGCAATGAATCCTCCGTCATGAATGTTCAGTTTTTCAGAGATGTGTGAGAATTTTGGAGGGTGATTCTGTTGAATTGTGTTGCATCATACAGATTTGTGGCTTTGTTATATACTCGACAGTCATTGTGTCATGAATCCCTCCAACTCTTAGTTTGTTTTCACCTAGTTTTGTTTCTTGTCTCATCACTAACTCTCCTGTCATTTCAGATCCTGCCTTTTGGACCTTTGATCTCCTGCCTGCTCCCCATTGCATTTGTTTGCCTGATCATCTGATCACCTGGTTTGTTACTCTCTCTGAATTCAGTAAACTGAGCTTTCTTTGAGACTCTGCTGTCTCATTGTCGTGCTTTTGGTTTCACATCAGTCTCGATTCGTAATCCTCACACATTGATATAAATGGGGTGGACAAAATAATAGTGGTGGCACTAGATCAAACCATAGCAGATCACCAAAGTTATTATAATTCATCCTGAGGAGAGACATGAATGTCTATGTAACATTCAATGCCAATCCGTCCAAGAGTTGAGATATTTCAGATCGGACCAAAGTGTTGGACTGACGAACATGCCAACATTGCCATCCCTGGAGGCCCAATGCTAGCATGGCTAAAAACGAATTCAGAGCGGATAAAATACAAGGGGAGGAAAGGAATAAACCGGAGGAGACCAGGAGGTTTTGCTAGGCTACTGACAGATATAGTGCCCGATATCCTCGCTGTGAATGTGTGATGTGTCCTTCAAAGACAGATGATGATGATTAAACTCGCGCCTGGTGCGTTCAGGCCAACACTGTACAGATGCAGCCGATGATGTGATGATGTGCTTCACATGAGGAAAAAAGGGGCTTACAGTCGAGCTGCCGCTGCAGGCAGCTCCCTGGGAAAAAGGGCAACTCCTACCACACAAACAGATCCACACACACACACACACATGGACTTTGTCTATTTTGTCTGTCTTTCTGAGTCAAAGCTCTCTTTATGGCCAGACAGTGTGATCCTTCTGCTGCTTCGACACACAGATTTCTACAAAAAACCAATTATCTACACTCCCTGCTCCAAACCACTCGTGTGTTATCCACTACAACCCCCATGTGTAGCCTGGAGCTCACATTCAAAACTGCCAATTTTTTAACTTAATTCTTTTCTTGGGGGAAAATTTTGTCAGAACCCTCTCAGCCGTGTGTCAATGCACGGCCACACACACTTAAAACACACATGTGCAAACAGACACACAAATACACACACACACACACACACCACGCCTCCTCCACTTCCTCTGTTTCATCAGTCTCAGCCTCTGTAGCAGCGGCAGAAGCAGCAGTCCTGCCGGTTGCCATGGCAACACTTCCTCCTGCCCTGAGTGTGTGTGTGTGTGTGTGCGCGCATGCGTGTATGAATGTGTGTGTGTGTGTGTGCAGTCGCCGGGGCTAGTCTCACTACTTGAGTGAATCCACAGTGTGCATGTGTAACAGTGTGAATACACAATGACTGAATGAATACATAAAACACACACGCACACACTCGCTCACTCCCACAGGCTGACACTCGCTCTTTCTTTGAGCAAACATGTTTGTGAAAGAGCTGCACTGTTGTACGCTGCAGCCGTCGACACACAGCGTGGAGGAAACTCGCAACCAACAGTCCTACAGTAAATGTGCCTCATGAATTCTTTTGGCACGAATGTAAATTAAATGCTTGACAGAGACAAAGACGAGAGAGTGAGGGCAGGGGAAAAAAAGCTCCATGTAGTGGCAGAACATGTAGTGGGTGGAATATCAAAGACAGGATTAGAAATGTTCTTCATCCACACTTCCCTTCTTGACGTGGGTGAACAAATATCGCCTCATGTCTTTTCCCCCTTTCCAACCATTTCAGCTTTGTGGAAATAAAGCCGAGGCAAAAAATGAACCAGAGCGGTGCAATCCATCTGTGATCGTGCCACCAGCTTCTCTCCCCTTTGGCTTCATTATGAGATTTAAACCCATGCTGGGAACGCTGCTTAAGTGTGTGTGTGTGTGTGTGTCTGTGCGTGTGTGTGTGTGTGTGTGTGAGTGCAGAGATTACCCCTACAGCGGTGTGAAATCATCCCGCACTCTGAGGGGAATTAGATTAAGACTGTCCAAGACGATTCTATTGTCAGTTTCAGATCAAAGAACTTCATCTGTCATCAATTTGCAGTGGCACATGGCTTCAGGAAAATGTTTCCCGGCACGTGACAGCATTATAGCCTGTAAATATATCCTGTGTGGGGTTCTTTAAAAAGATCAACCCCACCCAACCCCACCCCGACTCATTTTAAATGGATGCCTTTGCACAGATGAAGGGGCTACTCTCTGGTAATTGTTTTGGCGAGGACCTGACGACAGGTGTGACTCTGATAAGGGTTTGCTGTCATGGATGTAGTCAACGTGCAGACTGGATTTAGAGTTCAAGTGGTGGCAGCGATGTTGTGTGTGTGTTTGTGACCTCCTACCTTCCTCCTCGCTGGAGTCTCTCTGTATATAGACAGGAGGTGCTGTGGAGGATGACCCCGCTGCCCCCGAACTGCTCTTTGTGAAAATGCCACTGATGAACTTGAGCATCTTCCTGTCTTTAGCGGAGCCTCGCTGGCCCTGCTGTGTCTGCTGGGCTTCCCTGGCCAACCCCAGGTCCTCAGAGAGGCTATTCAGGTCGCTGTTATCCAGCGTGCGGCTTTTACCTTTGCGTGCCGGTTTGGGGGCCTGGGTAGCAGGCGCAGGTAGGGAGGTCGAACCAGTCTTTAGTCTCTCCTTCCTGGGGATGTCTCTCATCACTGCAGCCATGCCACCTCCAATGTCTAGAGGTATTCCAGCTTGAGCTTCATCCCGCAGGTCCCTCCATCCCTCGGGCCTGCTCGCCTCGGCCCACGAGGCCCTGCAGGGGCCCGGAGAGCGCGTCGGCATGCGGCAGTCCTTGCGGTCGAGGCTCTGGGCAGAGGTAGGGCTGCGCTCTCTACCGTCTCTGGAGTCGCGGCCACGGGTGGCCACACTGCTGTGAGACTTGAGCAGACTCACAGGCCGTTGTCCCGCTGGGCGGATAGGGAGGCTGGTCCTGGTTGGGGTGCGGCTGGGCTCCACACACACCTCTGTTGGTGGTGTTGTGGTGAGAGATGGAGACCTGCATTGCTTTGCCTCTGGTGTGGGAAGTGTCTTCTCGACTCTTGTTAAGTCTGTCTCTGCAGACTTTGTCTTCTGAATTGTTGTTCTCTCAGCAGGAAAGGGGATTGAGAGGTTGCTCGGTGGCTTTTCACTTCCTTTGCTCGGGACATCAACAGTGGAGGGTAGTTTATCTTTCAAAGGGCTGAGGGCTTTTCTCTCCCCATCCTTGAGTTCATCAATTAACTTCTCCTCCTTCACAACAGCACCATCCTCAGCTCTTTGTGGTTGTCCTAAAACCACTCCAGCTCCATTCTCAGCCTGTGCAGGAGCTCTATCTTCAGCCTCCACTCTCGCCCCGGCCTCCTCCCCTGCCCCACCTCCTGACCCGGCCTCCACCTCCTTCCCCTGGGTGCTGTTCTTGGCCTCCCCTCCATTCTCCTCCACAGCCTCTACCTTGACCAGGGTTAGGGAGATGAGGTAGGTGGTGCGTTGCTGCAGGGCGCCGCCTCCGCTCATGTGGTCAGGCTTCAGTAGACGCAAGGTAGATGAATGAAACCAGACAGAGTGACATGAACAACTGACAGTCTGCCAGCGTGTTGGGATGTGAAAGAATCTGACGGCACAACACAGACAAAAAACTTACATGGGGGGAGATTAAGTTTCTCCTCAGAAGATACAACAGCAGAGGGGCTGTTGGTTTCATCCATCCCCCAAATCCCTATTTCTTTGTTTCGGATTTTAATGTCAGTCACGGATTTCTTCGTTGGCTGTAATTTTAATTTCTCTGGCATACAGAAAAGAAATCCACTCTTGCTGACAACCTTCAGCACACTGTCAGTGCAGTCCAAGCAGCTCTTTTGTTCCTCGAAAACACCCAATTAAAATCTATCCACTGCATATATATGCCGCCACTAAGACAAATAAATCTTCATTATGGCGTCTGATGCTTCATTCCTGATGGTAATTATTTACTTGACCTTATTTTCATGTGCAGCACCCCCATCTTATGTGTTGCTCAGTCCATCCTCTTCACTCAGAGCAAAAATCATGATTCAGTTCAGAATAACAACTGCCCCGCATCATACGTCATCAAGAATATGGTGAACAGCAGCTGTAAAGTGAAAAGGTGAAGTCTTTAAAAATACATTAGTGTCACCCTAAAGCAGCATGGCACAGTACACCCAGAGCTGTATGCAGTCCAGTCCAGATCATGGGCTCTCGTTGCAAGCCACACATGTGTGTTGACAGCAGCATCCATTCAGAGAGCACGGCGGCAGGAAGGCAGGCAGCCTCACGGAGACGCACAGGAAGGACATTGATGAGGGATGAAGGGGATCAGGAGGAGAAGCCAACGGAAGCCCGGGCGGATATCTGGAGATGCATGACCGAGTCAGGGCGCGTCCGGCCATCACGCCCCTCTCGCTGTCTCCCGGGTTGCCTGTGTCCTCTGAGCGCATCAGGCGTTGAGCATGACAACACAGAGGAGGCGCTGAGGCGAGTCACTGCTCAACCAGCTCCCCGACTGCCTCTAAAGCTCTCCGATAGAGACACCGTCGCACAGGTTCAACGAGTCCAGAGCACATCACACACACACATACACACTCCCACACACATACATCCACAGCTCTTCCCTCTCACACTCTGCGTTTCTCTCTCCTGCTTTCACAAACACACTGATAGGAATCTCCAATGTCCCTCCCTCTACATGCCCCTCCTTGTTCCAATAAGCAATCCATACAATGCAGAAGGATTCTGCTTCTCTTCGTCCCACTTCCCTCCTTTATTTTCTCTCTCTCCCTTTTTCTCCTTCTGCTCCTCTCAGACTGTGCAGGGTCCCTGCTCTTTATTGCTCATCCCTCCCATCCCCATCCCCTCCCTCCATCTTTCTCCCTGCGTGCCGGAGAGAGGAGGGGGAGGCAGCGAGTAACGGCTGGTGGTAAAGCAGCAGTGCACACACAAGCTGGACCTGCTAAATGAAGGGAGACCGTAGGAGAAGGGATCAGTGGCAGGGAGAGGAAAGATGAAGCGGAGAGGCAAGCAGGAAGGCAGGGTTAGTCAGGATGAAAAACAGTAAAAGAAAAAAAAATGGATGCATGTTTGTGGATGGAAGGAGACATTCAGGCAGGCTGCGTTTTCCAAGTGTCTGTTCCCTGTCTCATTTATACAGCTGCTAGTTTAGTCAAGATCATCCATCACTCTTCAGCTGTCTATTTGTGTTTTTATCTATTTGTGTGTGTGTGTGTGTGTGTGTGTGTGTGTGTGTGTGTGTGTGTGTGTGTGTGTGTGTGTGTGTGTGTGTGTGTGTGTGTGTGGGGGGCTCCATGTGGCTCCTCCTCAGTAGGAGGCTTGGCTTGTTTGTTGCTAAGGTGTTACAATCTTCCTGGCTCTAGTGGCACAATCATCTCCTCCATGTCCTTCCTCCTCCTCCTCCTCCTTCCTCCTCCTCCTCCTCCACCCCCTCCTCATCCTTTGGTACATTCTGTATCGCAATCATTCCCAGGATCTCTGTATCAAAATGGTGTTTGTGTATGTGTGTGTGTGTGTGTGTGTCGTACATGTGAGTGAAAGAGGTTTCCTGTGAGTGTATTGATCTGTAGTCTATTGCCTACTACGGCATGTGTTCATTAGCAGAAGTGGGTAAGCTCTGGGCTCACAGCATGAACCAAGCAATGACGAGAGAGGATGAGAGCATATTGGACATCAATAGTTGGACCACTGAAGGCAAAATAAATTACACACAGGCTAGATTGCTATTTTATTACAACAAACCCATTTAACTGAGCATAGAACATTTTCTATATCATGAAATATCTGAAATTTTTTTGCGCAAAATACAGTATATTATGGAACAAAGTTACTTTCATTATCAATTAATCTGCAGATTATTTTCCTAATTAATCAATCAATAGTTTGGTCAACAAATAGATAAACTAGAGCCCAACTTAATGTCTTCAAATCTTCAACAAGTTCTGACCAACAGTTCAAACCCACGAAAAATTCAGTTTACCATAAAACAAAAACAGCTGATTCTTACATTCGAGAAGCTGGAATCATAAAATGTTTGGAAGATTTTTCTATGTGTAACAGAGCTGCAGTCAGCATCCTGTTGCTTGCAGGTGTGTTCACACTCTGTGGTTAGCACGCATCCTCACCATCGGCAACAGTGATGTGATATACACAAGACTGAACGTGATTGACTGGCATCATGTTGTTTAATAAGGTAATTAAAGTTACACTGGTATTATAGTTCAACTATAAAATAAAATATATTTGAGACTATAGTCTGAATTTGTCATTCTGCATATGTTGGCAGCTAGCTAGCTTTAGCAATCGCCATTTGTCTAACTTTCACTGAGACGCAGCAATGTTAGCATACAGTAGCTAAATTTGCTGGATGATAACACTAATAGTTAGTGAACTAGACTGAATATTATAAATAAGATGTGTTGCATCACTTCACTATTGACGTGATAGTTTCCATCACATCTCTCATTTTGCTATATCGATGTTGTGCAAAGTAACAGAGACGTTTTGTGCTATAGCTGGTCGTTTGCTGACATTAGCGGATACCATTTCTAAGCTAATGTTAGCTATCGTTGCACACTGTTGGCGCTGTGGGGGGTGGCATTGAGGCAAGGCACTTGGGAGTGAACATAAATGTCACATCCTTTGGATTTTCTTGGAAGATTCAGCCCTTTACATAGAAGTCAGGCCTCATTTTTTAACTTACACTTCAATCCATTAACACACTGGCAATAAAAAAAAGCAATTAATACATGTAAATTGCTTCACATTCTTACATATAGTACCTTTAAATGATTAATCTATTATAAAAATATTTTACAATTAATTTTCTGTTGAGTGACAAATCAATTCACTAATTTTAACAAACAAAAATTATAATATAAGCAAAACTACTAGAGAAACTGATGTTATGATGCTGTGCGCAACAACAGAAATGCTGCAGCAAACATGATACACATCAATCTCTTGAATTATTACAGGGTGTAATTTCATGTTAATTACTCTCTGATTAAAAAATATTCCTTGATGTGAAATCAGAGGCTGCCTCTCCCCACAGTGCAGCACTCTCAGCCTCCCACCATCATCCCATAGTACATGATCTGACTGTCCACCTGCTCAGCCCGCCTCCCCCTCCCTTCCACAGTCAGTGAGAGGGCAATAACTACTCACACTGAATACAAAAGACCTCTGACAACCGCCTTTGGCTGAAGGGGAAAACGTACGACCTGAGAGGAATGACGACCGCAGCCACAGAGGAGGAGTCATGAATAAAACCCCTGAAAGGAAGAGCTGCTTTTTTAAAAAAAAATCCAAACATACTCTCAGGGTGGTAACGTTATGAGTGTGTAAAATTCTTATTTAACAAGTACTTAGAGGACATGACATGACCGTGTGAGTTCAAGTGCATGTAAGGTTACTGCAGTTGGCTGCGCTGCACAGTGAATCAAATTATTGTGAAATAGACACCCACATATATAATGCAGAAAATCAGGTTGTCTTCAGGCAGACACTTTTTAGAAATACACTTCCTCTCACATGCATGTATACAGGCAAAGCTGTCAACAACACACACACACGCACACACACACACAAACACACACACACACACACACACACACACACACATTGACACCCATGGGCGGGTGCTGTCAGATGGACAGTGGCCAAGGGCAGTGGTCATGCTGGGTGAGTTTTCATTTCTCCTTCACTGTGAGCTGTCCTCTCTATCTTTCCCCTCTCAATCTCTCACTCTGCTGCCATGCTGCAGTGCACATACCAGTCAGTCACATTTAAATGTCTTCATTTAGCTCAGTAGCACCTCATCCCTCTCTTCCTCTCCGTCTTTTTTTTTTCGCTCCCAGCCTTTCCTTGGCACACAGTCAGTCGTCCACATCCCACTCACTTTTTAAGTCCATAAGAGAGGTGGCTCTCTTTATAGCATCAGTGAACTGTACGCTCACAGATCCAGGCCCCACAGTGGATGCACTTTCTTTGATCCTCACTACAGTGTTGACACTCCAGCAGCCTAATTATATATTAAAAGAAAAAATTCAACTGAATGCTTTTACACATAGTGTGATTGCCTCTCAGAGCGTGTCAAGATCTGCCAGATCCTAAAAAGACCTCAGAGCTCACCAAAACCCATCAGGGAGCTGACTGACCTTCAATTCACAAACAGTGGAATGAATGTAACAGGCAAATGAATAACGTGATGAAACCAAAAGCTAATTTGAAAAATTTTTGAGGTTTTCATTGCACTCGGTTCGACTTCACCAGTGGGGGAAAGTAAGTACATTTTCTCATCGATCTATTTTCTCTCCCACATAAAACAAAATAAAACCAAAACCAAAAAACAAACTTTTACATTGCTACATACAATAACTTATTTATTTAAGTAAAAATAGAAAAAATAGTCCTGCATTTAAAATCTTACTTAAGAAAAAGTGGTATTATCTGAGGTATTATCAGCTATTTGTATTTGTTCTGCAGTAAAATGTCCCCTGCATGTGACTGATATATTATTACAGTATATGTGACATTATTATATAGCTAATATTGATAAATCAATGTGTAAGCAATGTGTGACTGCTGTAGCTGTTAGAGGTGGAGCTGGTTTGGTTTCAATTTAGTCCAGTGGTTTCCACCATAGGGGTTAGGACGCTCCAGTGGGTCACCAAATAAATCTGAGTGGTCGAGAGAAAAATAATGGGAGAGGAAAGGGGAAAAAACAAAAAGTTCTGCTCCACACATTTATATTTATCTTTTTGACTCTCCCTGCTTTGCTGTTTGGTGAAATATTAGATCAGAACTGAACAGTTGATAAAATGAAACCATTTCAGTGGAGACGTGTCTTTCGTGGAACTGGAAACAGCTCAGAGACTTATGAAACATGACAAGGAGCCTCTGCCAGACATTGCTCGACAAATCAAAATGTTTAACAATATCTTATATTTTAAACACTTAAAAAGGTTTTCAATGAGAAATCTTAACCTTCAATTTGTAGTAACTACAACTATACTTCTACTCAGATAAAAGTAGAGTATTAAAAAGTACAATATTTCTCTCTGAAATGTGGCAGAGTATAAGAAGAGTAGTAGTGTAAGTTGTAGAAAATGGTGCAAATACCTTAAAATTGTAGTTAAGATCATTGCTTGAGTAAATGTACTTAGTTACTTTCCACCACTGGTGATCAAGTTATTATTTTGTATGCATAGGATAAAGAAATATCTATAATTTTGATACTTTAAGTGCATTTTAATCGTACTTTTACTTTTTACAAGTAGAATTTTGAAGGCAGCCAGAACTGTTCCAGTGTCTACACATCGTGGTATTGCGACTTACAGGATCTAAGTATTTCTTCCTCTCACCTTTGCTGCTTTGACGCAAAAAGTTTCAGATAAGACGAAAAGTTTAACAGTAACACATTGTGTCACATTCACTAGAAACGGTGGGAAGTAGAGCTATGAGGAAATGATGTAAAACTGATCGGCTTCACATGTAAAGGCCCTGTTTGTCTGAAAGGAAGTGGCTTTGAGGGCAGTTGCAGATTGGCAGACAGGAAGTAGGCCGCACAGCAGGTTTCATCCTGCTGCCATGGCGATGGCTGCTGAGGGATGTTGCTATTGGTCGCCTGTGTCCAGAAGCTGGCTGATAAATAAATGCCACTACATAGCAGCCACCAGGAGGTCAATTTTTGCCCTCGGAGTGAAATGAGAATGGAAGTGAACATCGACTGAGCACCTCTTCCATGAAAAGACGTACCGACTGAGACAGGAAGCACAGAGGAAGATATCAATCACCTAAGCTATCATGTTCTCCCACACCCCACGCCTGATGTTGATGAAAAGAGCGACTAAACTCGCTGTGAAACTAAATCTGCAGTGATAGTTTTTCCTGTTTATCATATCAAAAAACATATTACATAAACATGAGTGAGCATCGTGAAAGTCAGACCATGCAGCAAATTCTGATAAGTACTTGAGTGGACACATAATATGTTGCTTTCCTCCATGAATTCAATGAAGAAAAGTGAATCACAAAGAGCCACCAAGCTTAAGAAAGACGAGCTTACCTTGAATACTGTGGAGGTAAACTTTTAGGCCTGAGCGCAGCTGTTGATCCGCGACCCTTTCAAACTGCTTGGAAAGTCTGTTGATTGCACTCTGGAGAGATTCATGCCTCTTGATCTCTGCTTTTATTGCAACAGAGTTCACCGATTTACTGTTGCTGTTCATCCTGACACATGGATTCGTTGTAACCTGAAGCAAGGTGCTCGCTTCAGCCCATTTGAACTCCTGGCTGTTTGTTCCACAAGATCAATGCGAAGTTAAGACACAGAAGCAGCTGAGAAAGAAGTGGAGAAGGGTGTCTCTCTTTCTCTCTCTCTCTCTCTCTCTAGACCACAAAAGTCAGCTCACGCTGATGTGCGTCTCAGTTTCCTCTGCAGGTTTGAAACGAACTGAATTCACTTCCTTATTTCAAACCATATTCTTCGCTATACGGCAGCTCTGACTGCTGTGGTGATCAGACCACTGAAAGGACGTCTGAGGCTGCCTCATACCTCACATAACAGCTACTGACAAAGGAAAAATGACACAAAAACATAATTTACAACACTGTTATTACAGCTGATGTGTTTTAGTAAACAGGTTAGAGGATGCAGTCTGTTTTTTGCTGTGTGTCATTCTTTTGCTAACAAGTTGGCTTATATGAACAAATATTCACTGCTTTCGGATTTATTGGTGATACAGTGAGAATTACATATATGTATGATTACTTCAGTGTAGGTTAAATTTCACTGTCCCCTGATCAGAATAGAAAACATAGTATATTTATGGTGTGAGACAATCAGGATGATAAAATTATAGATGTACATGTATGAGGAATATGGGTATTAGTTACCTTTTTGTAGAGTTTACATAAAGTAGTATATGATAAGTTCATAAAATACGAGACAGTCAAACTACGAAATAGTTTGCAAAAAAGCAAAGATTAGAGAAAAGTACAAAATAAACTCAAACAGATTCATGTGACAGAGCTTTTTTTTTTTCTTTTTTCCTTTCCTTTCCTTTCCTTTCCTTTTTCCTAATCATCTCATGATTAATCATGGAGGTTCCTGACTCCTAGGTTGAGAACCAGTGGATTAGCCTAAACTACCCAACTGTATGTAAAGCAGATAAACAAGCTCCTGGGTGGAATAATGTTAATGTATCAGTCACAGGACCCAAGACTCTGTAGAACGAGTACTTTTAGTTTTTATACTTTAGGTATATTTTTCTCATCATACTTATACAAATAACAGTTTTTTTTTTCAATTTTTTTTATTAAAAGCATATTTGGCCAATGGAACAAACAATACATAATTACAGACAGAAAATAAATTAGCCTACTACAAAGAGGAAAAACAACCACAACTTGTAGGATCTTAAATGCAAGACTTTTGCATGAAATTGAGTATTTTTTCATTGTTGTATTGGAACTTTTATTTAAGTAAAGGATCTGAGTTCTTCTTCCACCGCTGCATGTTTTTTATATTCTATACCAGTATACTTATAATAATAATAATAATAATAATAATAATAATAATAATAACAATAAAACAGTAAACCGGTTTATTAATTGTGGTCCTGCTCTATGTTCCAGATTTGATGATTTGAAGCGATGACGTTTTTTACGTCCTGACGTATCGCGTGGTACTGACGTCATCAAACACGCCCTCTCCACTGACCAAAAACACCTGAGTCCAGACGTCAGCGCTGCCCAGAGCCGGACAACACTGATCTCTTGCGTTTTATTTTTAAATTAAGAAAAGTCTTATTCACTAGCCAGACTCAGCCGATAGAGGATTTTTCGAATATGGTCTGTGGCGGTTTCACCTGTTCCAAAAATGCGCTTTGTTCCCTGAATGTGGTTTACATGGTGAGTGAACAAAATGGATCATCATGCTAAGTTTTAGCTAACCTCGTTAGCTGAGGCTAACTAGCGTAGTGTTAGCAGGGATATTACTGATGATTTCGCCTTTTGCTTCACATGCCTCTGATTTCACTCTGCGGGTAACTATTGGTGTGTACTCTGTTCTGTTGATTACATATAAAAACGTTGACGTTTAGTATCGTACGTTAGCTGAGTAGTACAGTAATGTAATAGTAGTGCTCTTAGCGCTTTAGCCTGTTAGCTATCGCCATTGTGTTATGTTCCCGATAGCCGGGAGGCCAGCTGACCTAAAATGTGAAACTGACATGCTTGAATGGTTCATCTTCCACATCATCTCTCTTATCAGTCACTCGGGTTTATCACAACAAGATTTAATCAGCTGCTGCGTGTGTGTCTCCGTGTCTGTGGCTTCAGCTCAGCTAACATAAACTCCCTGTAAACTGGTGTTTAAACTGGGATCAGAGTGAAATGAGTCCCCGTACCCTCCTGTATTGATGAGATCCTGTACAACACTTCTAAAGCTAAATATAACCTTTGTAAATCCAAATCCAAATACTCATATACATTTAAACATACTGTGAAGAATGGTAAATTTTAAGGCTGTGTTTTGCAGTTTTACTTCTTCATATACAGTACTGTGCAAGGGATTTAGGCACTAAAACAACGTATCTAAAGGTCCTGGAAAGTCTTGATAATATTGATTTCAATGTCCTTACCGAAAGTACTTAAAACTTATTTTAAAGAGTCATTTACAAAGATCTAAAGAATGCCATAGACAGTAATGTAGAAAAATGTTGAAAACCTGGCTGGTCCCTAGTACTATTGCTCTAGACCTCTCACCTTTAACTAATAAGTTATTTTTTCATTGAATCTATTCATCCATTGTTGTGTTTACTGATTATATATATGTTTATATAATTAGCAATATGGCAGGAAGTAATGACAAAAATGTGAAATAAATGTAAATAAACTGACATTTATTCCAAATTCTACTTATTCTTGGTAAATAATTCTTGGTCATATCGTCCCTACTGGTATTCGTTGATATCTTTCAACATTTTGTTCTTTGTGACTGTGAAAAATGAGGATGCTTCCATAAATCCCACCATAAATAGTTTTTATTAATCACTTTCACTTCATACAAAGTTCAGTGTAAAGAAAAAAATGAAATCAAATTTTTTATTGCTCATATCAATATAACATTTGATTAAAAGGCAGTAATTTTAGTTGAAGCTGTGTTTGTCTGTGGTTGTGGGCTGCCAAGAGACTTTATATAGCTGTAAACCAAAAGAGGGATTGTTGCGATTGCGGATTGTGTGTTCGATCAATTTTATGTGGGGCCTTAAATTTGACTTAACCCTGTAGAAACCCTGTAAAGTAGCTGTCTCAACAAAAACAAAACACTCTCAAGTAAGGCTGTATTGCAGGGCTGTTCCATTGCATCATATTGTATAGGTGTTTCTATTGTTGTGGTCACTCACTGTTGCCTAGTGTTACAAATGTGTTTACCCTGTTTTTAACAGTTAGTGGTTCCTGCCCATCCTCTGACATGTGTTAAGTATTGTTTGATCAGAGAGCAACAGGATATTAATGCTTAACTGAACTGTTAGATAGTAGATACAATATACAATGAGACGATAAGAAGATACAATATATATCTTTATAAACTCTAAAATAATAATTGTAATTGGTTAATCTGTTCATTCATTTTATGCTGTTTATCTGGGTCCAGGTCACTCTAATTTGATTAATTATACCATCAGGAATTATTGTTATATGTTGCTGGAAATGTGGTATGATAACACATACTTATTTTGCCACTGCTGGTTTTCCATGATACATAAACCCTTTGGACACACACAAGTATAATAACAATACAATAACAAGTATTAAAATGTATTTTATGTGGTATTAGAAATATCTTCAAAAGTCTTAAATTTAACTTCATGAACCTGCAGAAATCCTGCATTACCTGATGTCTTCTTTGCAAGTCAGCCACCTTCACGCTCAGTGAAGACATGGGAGTATAGCTAACGACACACGCAGCCTGAGAGCTTAGTGTCCCAGTCGACTCTGTGCTGAAAGGAACACTTGAGTACTGGAACATGTACACATGCCACCGATCATGTTGTTGACAGCTGAGTCACTGCGTGTGATGCTGGTGTGTAGAATCAGGACAGGCAGCGGTGACATGTAAAAAGGCAAGAGGAACAAACAGTTCCTCCTAGAGCTGAAACAATTGATTGATTTGCATTCAGCAAAAATTCCAATGTCATTATGACAGTAAACTGAATATCTTTGGCTTTTGGACCGAGTTCATGTCCCCATGAACTCTGCAGGTGTCATTTTTTAGGACAAACAGCAGAGAGGTTCACCTTTGTGATTTATTTATGAAATGATTTGCAACGGATAATTTTGTAGTTTGTGTTTGCAGAGTGTTAAAAGTCGTAAAAGAAAACATCACAATGAACTCAGTGTTTTTCATTTGTTTCAGTTGCTCAAAAACAGTAAAAACTGTCCAGGGACCAGCAGTCTTATGACACACGTGAAAAGTTGTTTACACTAAACCTTAACTTTTAGACATCTTGTTTCTTTCTCTGTGACTGTTGCTCTGCTTCACCTGCATTATTTATGTACACTAAATTTTAAATCAGCAAAGACTTCCCAAAGACTTGCACAGTGTTTACAGGATAAGTGGTGGTGTTGTTGTTGACCATGTGATGAGCTCCATTCCATCAGATACACACTGCCTCAGCTGACTCTGGTTAACTTCCTTCCCTCTGCTCCCTGCAGCTGGTCGGGCTGCTGCTGATTGGAGTAGCAGCATGGGGGAAAGGGTTCGGCTTGGTGTCGAGCATCCACATCATCGGAGGGGTCATCGCAGTGGGCTTCTTCCTGCTGCTCATCGCCATTGTAGGACTCATCGGAGCAATACACCACCACCAAGTGATGCTTTTCTTTGTATCCTTTCACTTCGTTAATACACAGGTTTACAGGTGATTATTGGGTGAGTTGCAGTCAGGCTGGATGATGAAACTATCTGTAATTGTCACAGAAAATTTCCCACAATAAACCGATGCGTAATTTTCAATAAATGTATCTGTTCTGCATTTGGGTCAGCCCTCATCTGCACAAACACTCTATCAGGCCCCAGCAATAGGGTTATGTAGCTGACACATTTACGGTGAAAGCAAGGGAAAAACACTCACAGCATTGTTGGAAATGTAAAAATGAGCGAAGAGAGTCTGACGTTGGCACGAAATGAGGAATCGTGCAGAAAGAGGGTCACACCGCATCAGGCATTTGGAAGTGGTTTGGATTTTTAAAGCTGGTTAAACAGCGCAGTGATATCTGTTACAAGATGTGCAGATGGTGGCAACACAACCAACCTTCACCACCATTTGAAAAGCGAATGTTATGCAGCCAGACTCGCAAACAAGCCTGTTGTGGTAACGTTAGTTCAAACTTCAGCAGTAGTAGCTACTGTCTGTCTTTTCAGCCATTTTGAAAGGAACCAGACCAGCTGCTGTCTGTCACATCTATGTATTTTTATTTTTATTATTAACTGGCACATAAATGTAACTACCAGTGCCAGTGTGCATTAGCCAATATCTGTGACATAACATTTCAAAGTATTAATAAAATAAAGATTACAGACAAAACAATGAATATAGTTCACCATATACAAAGAAAAATAGCAACAGCCTGACCCAACCTACCAGACATGCAAACAAACAATAACAATAAAAAGACTGGTCAAAAGAAAGATGGCACTTATTCCATGTAGATACATAAATAAGGAGGAACAGATATTCATTCAATCTGTCTTTCCAGCTTCCTTATTTTCTACAAAAAGTAGAAATGGTTGTCAACGGTTGTCCATGAATCTCTTTGTGTATTCCTTCTCTAATTGTACATGATACATAATACATCCATATGTTGGAGGTGAAGAAAAACAAACCTTCTGGTGAGTGGTGAGCAAAAAGCTAACGCATCGGCTCGACATCTGTTTATATGAAATAAAGAAAGAAGCTGGATCATTTTCTGACATTTCCAAAACATGTGGAGTAATGTGCGTGAGTGTGGGTTGTGTACATTCATCACATGTAGGGTCAATGTGTCTTATCATTTAACCGATTTGACTTTGGACCAGTGAAGATGAGCAACTTTAAAAACAGCCTGTTAAAGACATACTGGTGATGTGTATACACTTTGTTCAAGTCTGCCTGATAACCGGCTCTGAGCAGCTCATAGGTTTTGCTTATGACTCGTCTTTCATCTGTTTTGCACTTTAGCACTAAATCCAGAAGGGGGGAGGGGAAAGGCAGGAAAGGGCAGGGCAGGAATCAGACTGGGAGGCCATGAAAGTCCTGAGCTGCAAATATCTGTAGAGCAAGTATTAGGAAAACCAAACCAATAGAGATTACATGGTTAGATAATGTTATGGTTTCACCTAATATCAGAAGCTTCATCTACTGTTGAATGGGTGAACATATCATTCTTTAATAATGGTGCACCTTAACAGAGTGCAGCACAACAGGCAGCTTGATACATAATAATACAGTTAGAGAGGTAGAATGAATGGACATCTTCTCCATAGTTGCCCGGCGGGGGGCAACGGGGGGGGGGTAATCTGTCAGTCACACAGTGTAGCACTGACTGATTTCAGGAGGCTGGACATGCCATACTTCCTGTTTGACGAGGGCTTGGTAGTGTTTTCTCTCATGTTGATCTTTTGTCTGACGTTGATTTAAAAGCATTGTTGCCTTGTTTAGGCATGAAAGATGCGGAGAGCATGGCATTAGTGATTCAGAATTAATTGATTGTTAAGAACCTTACAAACCTTTATTTGATTTATTCAGGATTCAACCCTAAAATTAATATACAGCCTTGAACTTCAAGTTAAAAGGTGCCTTGTAAGTTTTCTTGTAAATAAACATGTTATGTTCAAACTCGGTGTCTAATAAACAGGTTTTTTCCTTCATCAATGGTATTAAATCTATATATAATTATGCATATCAATGAATATGAAAAAAATATATTGTGATAATTCTTTAGACCATGCGACCCAGCTTGTAAGTTGCAATGAAGTATAAAGCCGTGTCAACAGCTATTTGAATATGTGAGTGTGTTGCAGTTTTGTCTTTCATGCTGTTGCACCATTGTTTCTTTGACCTCTCGCTCCCAGTACATGGTGATTCTGTTCATCGTTTTCCTCTTCCAATTTGGAGTTTCCTGTTCCTGCTTGGCGATGAACCGCGGACAGCAAGTGAGTAAACTCTCCTACGCTGCATCCATGTTCAACATTAATCAAAATATGTTCATGTTTTTCCGTAAATAATTGCTGTAAGATTTAATTCCTTTTTCTTATTCTTTATTGTCCCCTGTCTTATTTGCTTTTCCAGGAGGCACTTCTGAACTCTGCCTGGAGAATATTGAAAAATAAAACCAAGACAGACCTGGAGACCCAGCTGAACTGCTGTGGGCTTCTCAATGTGACTAACAGCCGGGCACAGTTTGAGCTGGATGTGCAGAACTGCCCAGCTGTAAGTCTGAAATGTCACATTTTTCATCATTAACATACACCAGGAAAGAAAAACAGTGTGTTCCTTAATGGAAAACCTGCTTGAACAGCACAGGGGCATGCATTATGTCTCTGTTTGGTTCAGATTATATGGTCTTTCAAATAAATTGTTTCCCTCAATCAGAATCATTTAAAAGTAGGACACTTTCTCTAGTTCTCAGAATAGATGTGGGTAGCTAATACTGGCTTGGCTCACAGACAGTTGACTCAGGCTGCTCAAGACTAAAGGTCTTCTCCTTTTTTGTCTTTTAACTCTAGTTATGCAAAAAGGGCAGTGTGTGTTTCAGCTGTGGGGATAAGATGCTGACTCATGCAACAGAGGCTCTGAAGATCCTCGGGGGCGTCGGACTCTTCTTCAGCTTCACAGAGGTGAGTGTCCGGTCCTCAAACCTACATCTTCACTCATTTAATCATTCAATAACAAGTCTGAGAAGCATGTGAGTTTAGTGTAACGCTGCACACTCAATGGACTGATGGCTCCTTTTGCCAAATGATTGTGTGCACAGACAGTCCACAGTCATCAATATAAAACCACAGATATGTGATAGGCGCATATATTCTTCGTTATGCGCTGATACGAATACTTTTAATAAGAAGCAATAATGCAGTGGAAATGCTCGGGTCAAGTCAAGTTATATAGGCAGCATTTTGTGTATATTATATATATAAGTTAAATATATGTTTATATATATATATATATATATATATATATATATTATTTATACATATTTGGTTCTTATGTTTTTTATTTATAGTTATTTTATTTAATTCACAGTGAAGTTTACAGTTTCAGTCCACTGATGTCATTTTGGACAATAAAGTTTATTGTTAAACTGTAAAATATCCTCCTTTTATTACATATCTTTTTCACAAGTGTTTATATATATACGTATATAAATATATATATGAATTTCTTTTTTACTCCCTAACATCGGCATCGGCCCCAGAAATCCAATATCGGTCAGGCTCTAATAAAAACTGCAGAAACCCACTCAGACAGTGTGATGCACGAACACACTTAAGATAGATTTATACTTGACGCAAAGGGTTAACGGGAATTGTGGTGTAGATGTCTACGATGTAGGTTTTGATTTATAGTTGAGCGGCAGATTTGATAGATATTGATAGTTTAATGTTCTTACTGATACAGAGCAGCTCAACATCCGCTGTGTCTCGTTACTAAATAAGAGATGACAGGTTTGCAGTGTAATCACTTAATTAGATGTTTACTAAAAATTAAAAGAGACTTTCCTTAATGTTTTCACTCTCGACAAACTTCACAGACGTCAGAAACATGTCGAGGAAAACACAAGCAGCGGATCACAGTTCTTGCTGCTACAGAGGTGCAGCTACGCTGTAGCTCCATCGTCTGTTCATTTCAAAAGAACTGAGTCCATACATTGTTGTGTGTAACTGTGTTGTCTTGGTTTCCAAATCAAAGTGTCCTCGAGCATAACACTGAACCTTGTCTAAACTGTGTAATCCTTCACACTCACAGATCCTGGGAGTGTGGCTCGCCGTGCGCTACAGAAACCAGAAGGATCCACGAGCAAATCCAAGTGCTTTCCTATAGTCTGTCCCACGTACGCGGTGCAGTGCCGTACATGCAGTTTCAGACACACTGGCACACACAGAATAATGCACATCTAGAGGCAGACACTCAGGCATACGATACAGAGCCACAACAACACAGAATGGACGAGCGCACGCAGCACCTGACACACACTGAGAAACAGAACAGACACACAGTGAGAATCAAAACACACACACACACTGAGAAACAAAACACACACACACACACACACACACACACACACACACACACACACACACCCTCACCTGAGAAACTACAACCTGTCACCTATTAAGATTTTTTTATTTTTTTTTTTTTTTTGCCCAGAGCTCAAGCTGGAAGACCTGGATACTTATGTATGAAAGGATGACTTGTAATACCAAGAAGTGCGACTTGTTGGTATGTCGACCCAGCCTTGATTTTGAGTGCCAGATTTCCTGATTGCGGCCTGCTAGTTTACCAACTATGTAACAAGCAATGAGACATCTCTGCATGTGTCCTACGCCTGCACAGTCCAACAGCCTCTCCGCTGAGTTCATTCCACACACACCAACCAAATGACTGTGCGGTGTCCAACAGATAACGTATATGCACCTTGAAATTTTCCTCTTGTCTCTAACGTAGGGCCACCACTTAACGACACATATATTCCTCTGGTCAGTGCTATCAGTGACGTGTAAAAACTGTCAACCCAAACATGTTCAATGTGACGAGAATGAGGGGGGAAGAGGACACATACTGGACGTGTGGTGTAAAGGAGTTTTGAAAATGTGTCTGTTGCAAATGCCGCAATTGAACAGGTTTAAGATGTTAGGTAGATTTTAGGTAATGTAGTTGCTAGTCATTCGGGTTCAAATATTTATGAACTGTAACTGAGCCAACTTAACTTTTAACAGTCAGAGATATTAGGATGCCAACGGACTGCAGCCTTGATGTTGTACATAATCTTTAAATACTGTAGTTCACGGAAATCATCCTCGGTGGGTTTGCCATGTGTCCTACGCCCCTCCAGCTTGGAGGTTTGCCTGCATAGTTGAGGCCTTTTGAAGGCCACAATAACTCACCTTTCCTGTATTTAACATGTTCCTTTGTGTCGCACAGTGATGTTGCTTAGAATAGATTCTGGTACAAAAAAAAAAAAAAAGTGGGTTCAGGTACGTACCATTACCTCCTGTTTAACTGGAAGAAATATCAAAAATGTAAAAAAAAAAAAAAAAAAAAAAAAGTAAATAAATAATACTTGCTGTTTGATTTGAAATAATTGGGTGAATCTGGCCAAAACTGCTTACTGCAAACCCAATTTTGTTTTTATAGTGTTAATTGTGAAAATGTGCTCTTGGTTGCAGTTATTTTTCTTCTTCTTTTTTTTTATACTTTGAACCAGCTAATCTTTCGTGGAATTATTTCGTCAGCATAATTGTGTCCTCTGTTGCCATCAGCTCTTTTTCGTTCATCAGTGTTAAATGCTTTGTAAAGACTTGTTAAATATTTTCGGGATCTATTTAAGTGATGATGATTGATGATGCACATTAGGTTAAAGTTCTATTATAGTTTTGATGGTATCATTTTTAATGCCTGGCTCGATGTTAGACTTATCCTGTTGATAAATCACTGCTCATTAATTCTCTCTATAAGATGTTTTGTTTATTTCTTTTGAATTGCTTTTAACTTAAAGGACTAACACAAACTGTAATAACATGTCTTACTTGAACCTGTCAACATCGCTGATATGGGTTTCCTGCTGCTGGTTTTGGAGTTATCGCTGGTGTAAACAAGCATTTTGACAGATCTTAAGCATTAAGCATTATGCCATATATTACACCTCACTTTGAATTTGTGTGCACTAGTTATTCAAATGTATCTTGAATTTTTGAGACTTAATTTTCCAAATAATAAAACCTCAAATTGGGAACTGTTTCCCTTGAGTCACTGTTTAAGTAGCATCACATTAAGTAATGTCTAATGTCTAAAAATGCACTCTCAATAGTTTATTGATATTAATGTCTAACTTCATATTGAGATTAATTTATTTTCTGGTCAATTCGAAGCATAAATACAAACTCTTGAAATACATTGCTGTTATGTTGAAAATTCTTAAAAGCATATATTTAGTTTCCTCAAAAAAAGCCCTTAGGAGAGCATTAACAAGTCTTAAATATCATTTACAAAGGTCTTAAAATATTTTTTCTAGTCTGGTGTAGGCAGAACTTTTTAGCAAAAACTGGCTTGGAAATTCTCAGTACCATCGTTCTATTTGTTCAGTTTTCTGCCATGTATCCAGGCCCAGGTCATGTTCAAAGATTAAATGATTATATTATTAGAAATACACCAGGAAGTAATGACAAAAATGTGAAATAAATCTAAATTGACATTTATTTCACATTGCATTTCAAAACTTCTCGGACTCATCATCCCTAAGGGGTTTTTATTGATGTCCTTCTAACAGGTATAAGAATTGCCTCCTGTGCAGTATTAAAAATATCTTTGATTTAACTTGGTGAACCCTGCAGAAATCCTGTACACTCTTCACCACATGATGGCAGTGCAGTGTCTGCAGCTGCAGGCCATTCACTGTTTTCCACCATTCACTGTTATTTCAGCCCTGCTCTGACATGGGTAAATACCTCAAGACAAGCAGGGAAGAGTTGCTCTTTGTCAGTGACTATTGTCACACAGATTGATTGCATCCACGTTGAAGGTGGATAACATTAACATGGCAGCTGTAAAATTAATCCACTCAGGCAGTAGGTTTTGATTCCCTGTGATATTCCTTCAGAAGGCCATTAATCCCTTCAGCTGGGATGGGTCCAGTAATGTGGGGGTGGGTGTGGGGCAGTGAGTGGAGAGCAGAAGGAGAGCTCAAGAACACTCTGATAGGGGAATAGTGAGAACACACAAGGAAATTATCTTGATACCTTTCAACCAAGGTTGTCCTAAATGAGGATAAACTGCTCCTCTGCCCTCGTCCTAATGGCCCATGGCAGACTGTCACAATCGCTGGTGCCCCCCCCCATCACGAAAGGCGTGACCCAATCTCTGCCGTTGCATACACCCTGCCAGGGAGCACCTGCGGGTTCATTTTCCTGAGACGCAGGAACATTTATGTAAGTGAAATGTGCCTGGTCAGGGCTTTGGGTCTTGAGTGTTTCCGGTGGCTGGGGACCAGCATTTTGGAAACTGCACCACACATCACATCCCCTGTCCTGTCAGCGTGCTCTCATGAGGGCCCAATGCCAGTCCCCACCCTGTGATGCGTGTCCATATGCCGGGTGTATTAGCTCGGAGAAGCTGTGGAGAATCGCACCAACAGGGATGGCCATCTGTCCTCTTACAGATATAGCATGGGCTCTGCAAGCACATGAAGACAGGATCTTAAAACATTTGGTCCATTATATCACACTACTGTGGTGAATGGGTTTTACAAAGGCGTGTCCTATAGGCAGAACTAATTATGTATAGCTTTTCAGCATGGGGCATGATGAGGCAGCATTCAGATCAGGAGGGACTAATAAATTGTTTCCTATAATAGTCCTATTTCCTGTGGATTATTCAGATCTTTGGCTTAAGTAAGAAATACCAACGCTTTGAAATGAAGATATTCGGTTACAAGTAAAAGTCCTGCGTTCAAAAGTTACCTGGGTAGTTTACAAAATTACACAAATAATAATACAACCAATCTGATTCAGAGGAATGCCAGTAAAAGCTGTTCTACAGTAGTACCGAATTATTTTGCAATCAACAAATATGTCAACATTGATTATGGACTTCCACAAATAAACTTGAAATCCATATTTGGGATGTTCTGTAGATGTTTGCTGCATTTTTTTTAAAAAACAAATCCAGACATCCAGTTATGATAAACACCACTGGTTCCATGTGTAAAAATGCAATGGATTTTATAATCTTGTATCTTAATCATCACATCATTGCCGTCAGACAAACATAGAAGACTAAAAAGAACAATATTTCCCACTGAAATGTGGTGGAGAACATGAATAAAGTGGCATAGAATGGAAATATGGATATAAAAAATCTATCTATCTATCTATCTATCTATGAGGTAAAACTCATAGCTGTCAGATTGAATGCACTGTGGAGTCACTCAAGTAAAGCTAAATGATTATGATTTTAATCATTTTGTAAATTGTTTTTGTCATTTTGCACAACTGACTATTTCAATGTGTGCTAATCATCAGTTCCCACATAGAAACAGGAAATGTGTGTTTTTTCTTCACACAGCTATGTCCAGCTGCATCCTATACATCAATAGTGGGAGTTTCCTCTGACATGGGAACAGGATCGCTGAGGATAAACCCTCGTGGTTTTAATGGGTCTGTATCTGGATCTAGATTCTTCTCACAGCTCTGCAAGGACAAACAGGAAGGTAAATCATTCTCATCAGTGAAGGGAGACAAACAGGTCAATATGGCCTATCAATAATGAAACAGAGCAGAGATGCATGTTGTTAGACCTCAGATGGAAGGGCAGCACAGGTGATGCAGGCAGTTATTCAGAGTGTTCAGGTCTTAAAGTGGTATTTCACATTAATAATTCAATTCAAAAACTTTTTTTAATACCTCTACTTCCATATGAGTTAAAATCATCCAATTATTATTTTTTTGGGGTCAGATTTAAATGGTTTCTTCTTACCAGAGGTGGAGGTAATTATAAGTAACAATGCCACACTATAACACACAGTCTTGCATTCAAAATGTTTATTTGTTTTTAAGAAGAAAGAACAGACGTAACTCCTGCACAATCTACTTTAAGTATCAAAAGTAAAAGTAGTTGTTCTGCAGAATGGGTCCTGTCATTGTTATATGATTGTATTATTGGATCATTATTATTGCTGCATTGGTGTAACTGGTTGAGCTCATGGCTTTTTGCTTTTGTGTAGATTAATCCATAATAATGCATCATATTTTATAAACCCATCACAGGTTGTGTTTGAACATTTTAATTTGTAAAGTAACCACTAACTTCAGCTGCCAGATAGTGAAGCAGAAAGTCAGTAAAACTGAAATCCTCAAGTTAAGTGAAAGTCAGAAATGTACTTACATTAACTGTATTAATACATTACTTGTTAAAAGGTGTTGAAAAAGTGAGCTAAAATCAAAGAATAAACTGTGAAAATAGCTAAAAGTAAAGGCTAGACAGTTAAAATAATTAGCTAAAATTGAATTAAACAGTTACGATAATTAGCTAAAAGTAAAGGCTAAACACATGAAATAGTAAAAATGGATAAACAGTTCAGATGATTTGCCCAAAGTAATGGATAAATGGTTCAAATAAAAGTAATGGATTAACAATTCAAATAGTTGCTAAAATTAAACGGTGCCAATAGTGGCTAGGAGTAATTGATAAGTTGAGACAGGTTGCTATCGTGATGGATAAACAGCTAAAACTAATGGATAAACAGTTGAGCTAGGCAGCTATAGTATTAGATAGTTAAATAGTTGGATAAAAACAATGGATAAACAGTTGAAGTAGATAGCTAAGTAGCCTAACGTTAAATTTGTTAAATTTGTTAAATTTGTTAAATTTGTTATCTAGAAATAATTGATTAACAGTTAAAAGTAATGGATAATGACTAGAGTTCACATACTTAGCTATTACTAACAGTGAAATAGTTCACTAATGAATCATTTGAAATAGTTATCTAAAAGTAATGAATAATTTATTGAAGTTGAATAGTTAGCTACAAGTAATGGATAAATAGTTAAGTGATAGATGATTGGTTGAAATAGCTAAAAGTAATAGATACAAATTTGAAATATGTAATGAATGAATGATTGAAATGGCTAAAACAGATAAATAATTGAAATATGTAGTTTCTGCCTTCAAGTGGTAAAGCAGTGTAGACACTGGCAGTTCAATTGTATGAAAAAGGTATTGTAACAATATCCATTTTTGTATAACATACAGTTTGAAATCCATTCAAAAAGAACATATTTAGAACGCAGCGGCTGGTGTCAGTGAAGCAGCACTTGATCTCATCTGACAGGGCTGTGTGGGTACATCAGACAAAAAAGGAACCAGAGCTGTAGATGATGTGGAATAGGAAGAAGTTGCCTTGAAAAGGAGTTGGAGGTACTGGAGGAAGAAAGGGGAACAGAAAGAGAGAGGAGGAGGTGAGACATTCAGGTTTACA